GTTATCGTTCAAATGTAACAATAAGCTGAGATTATACGAAAAGCGGTTATATAAAACGGTTATTCAAGCATTTTAACAATTTGAATTTAACTTAATGTAAAACTTTATACGAAATTTTCAACTCTGCTTTCGTTCCAACAAAAAGCAAAAAGAAACATTACGAAAACGAAATTAATTTAAAAGAAAGATGTGAAGGAAATAAATAATAAAGGAAGGAAATCAACGAAGAATCGCGATGGAAATGAGATCGGAAGGCGTTCGTAATTTGCCATTCGATATCTCGGCCGAGAGGGGAAAAGAAAAAAGTGTATCGGACGTGGTTTGGAACGATGGAGAATGAAGGTTAAAGGACGAATCCGTTCTACATACTTCGAACCTTGCCATCAGTTTTCGAGAAAAGAAAGAAAAAAAAACGTTAAAACGAGCTTTCGTTTCAATTTCCTTCCATTCTCTCCCTTCCCCCCGCCCCGCTCTCTCCGCTAGTTGGCCTGCGGCTTTCGAATTCGCCGTTCGTACGATCGATGAACGTTCGTGTCGTCACATGAGAACCCTCCTTTAATACCCCTCCCCCTCTCATTAAAGCCGTCCGCCGAACGCGGAGAGTAGCATCCTAATGCTATTTACACAAGTGCTCCGCCAGAGCGAAAGGGCGTTCGAAAAAACTGTCCCTCCTTTTCTCTCCTCCCTGTGCCGCCACCTCGTGTTACAATAAAATATCCATTTGCCTCTCCTTCACCTAACCTAACCGTTCAACGCAAAATTTACATTCGATTCAACGCGAGCCTCGTGACGCGTGTTACGTTTCGATCACGTTCGTGTTCGTGTTCGTGTTCGTGTTCGTGTTCGAGCTTCGATTCTAACCGTTTGGAAGCAGAAGAACGCCTCGAAATATCAATTCGACAAGATTTTGGAAATAATTATATACGATTTGCAGAAATAGGTTAGAATGACGAATTATTTTAAATTGTTCATTGTTTGATAGATTAGATATGTTGTTATCGAGGATCTATTTGATTGTTACTTGTATTTAAGTTTTTTTTTAAGGAGGATTGCGAGTTTCTTAGAGTTTCTGTTTTTTTTTTTTTTTTTTTTTTCATGTTTCTGGACCTCGCGACGTAGTAAAAGTTTCTTCCTCCTATCGTGACTCCTATCATTATATCCCGGCAACGAAGGTAATTCCAACTGACTACGTTATAATAAGAGAGGCAATGGAGACAATGGGAAGGATCGAGAGATATAATGACTTTCCTATAGAAACGAAGTAAAAAGTCGGAAACTAATGAAAATTATTTTCATTAACCTTTCATCAACGTGGCGTGGTTTCGAGATTGCTTTCGAGGTGCCCAGTGCGATCAGCGTTCCCTGTTCCATTTCTTTATACATTGAGGAAAGGAAGAAAGTTTATGACCGACAATCGGTCAGAAATTCTATTCTTCTCCGACGATAATATTCTCGAAGTGAAATTGTAAATATTAATAAACCTCGAAAAAATGAAACGATGGAGGATTTTGACGCGATAAATATTCGTTTCGTTTCGAGAAACGACGAACAGCGACAGATAATCTTTATCTCGATCCTTCGAGCAAGGACCGAACGGTATGAATTTGCGAGCGGTGTCCGGTTGCGCAACAGTTTCTGCTCGGAAAATGTAGCGAGGCGAGGAACGTAGGGCAAAACGCGGGGAGCCACCACGACCCACTTTCGCGTCTTGCCAATTGCCGATCCGTAGGAGCACACACGGTCCTAATTAGAGAAGTCTCGATCACCAATTAGAAGAGACGCGTTACAAGATCGTGCCATCGGGAGGAATTCGACCACCTCGTGAGAAAATTTTGCTATCCGAGGTCGAGGAGAAACGTTTCTTCCTCCTTCGACGAAGGAAGGAAAAAGAAGAAGAAGAAATTCTTTCTCGATTCTCTTCTTTTCTTTCTCTTCCTCCCCCCCCTTGTTTACTTCTCGATTCGACCACCTCCCACGATTATTCTATTCCAGGATTGTATTCTAAATCCGTGATCCGTGAAATTTCATATGGCAGACGTTCAACAACGAATAAATTACGGTAGGCCGAGTGCTCGATCCGCTCCGGTCTCGATATTCTCGCGAAGATTAAGCGGTAGAAAGTAGGAGGAATTCGGGCTCCTCGTCTTGGAAACGAGCCGTTTTAATCCACGGTGATCGTCGAATCACTCCCCTTCACCAATTACATTACGGCCGATTCCATCGATCTGAATCGTGGCAAATTCTGTTACAAACTTCTGTTACAAAAAAAAAGAAAAAAAAACGCGTAGAAAACTATCCTTTCCCCTCCCCCCCCTCTCAGATGCCGATATTCTAGGATCTCTTCTAGTTATTTTTCGTTATCGACACCATTTGTGGTTTTATATTCCTATAAATTTCGTTTTACGCGCCATAAATAAAGATAGAATAAATACCGGTTGATCTAGTTTTAAATCGTCGCTTATTTTTCCCCTTTTCCGTCGAAATAAGATAAATACGCAACTAGCAAAAAAAAGAAAAAAAAAAAATAATCGGTTTACAAAGAAAAGTTTGGCGATAAACTTTAAATTTGTCCTCTTTACGAAAAAAAAAAAAAAAAAAANAAAAAAAAAAAAAAAAAAAGAACTCGTAAAAATCGTATTCCGTGAAAATTCTTTTCGAACAGTATCTAAACTTGGATGAAGTTGTCTCGATCGCGACTTGACGCATGCGCGTTTCATTTACGTAAACATCGATTATCGATAATCACATAGGTAGGTATTCAGGTTTAGGACGAGCTATCGAAATAAATCAAGATGGCGCGGGAAGAGACGTGCGTCGATCATCTCTCTCCATGTAGGAGGTAACAGTGGTCAACAGTTTTACCAACGTTCAAGTTTACCCGTTTAAATATTTAACAGTGGTCATGTATGCGTCGTCGATCGGCTCGTTATAACCAAGCTGACAGACCGGAGGTGGAGCCTGCGACAGATACAGAGTCTCTATCGTCGGTTCGGTATTAAAATGCAAATGATCACGCTATCACCGAGCTTGTGCCGTTCTATCAGTGTGTACCTCTACCTCCGTCGTCGTGGCCATCATCGTCAAGTCGCAAAATAGTATCCTCTGGTCTCCTTTCCGTCCATACTGTATGCATAAAGTACACGCCGTACACGCCGTACACGCCACCGTCGTCTACCGTCGTCTACCGTGTCGATACGTATAGAGAAAATTTAATTGTTCGTGTACCATGTCCGACATTTGACCGCGTTAGATAAATTGAAATTTCACCGTCCTTGGAAGAAGGTGGAGAAAATCGGGCATCAAATCGTCTGGCCAATTGTAACGGTGAAAGTGGAAAGGGTAAGATGCTCGGCCACGTTACTTCGATTGTTGCAGTTGGTGCTCTTTGTCGGTGATGATCGATCGTAAGTGAAAGTATTCGATAATTATTCGATTAATTAATCGTCTTGTCCCGCGATGGACGACAGTGATGACAAAGAATTCTTCTGGTTCATTAAGATCACTCTTTGATTGAATAATACTCTTGATGCGCGAGATGTTGATGGTTAATTATTGATTTGACACGGTACACTCTCTCTCTTTCTCTCTCTCTCTCTCTCTCTCTCTCTCGATCAATCGATCGATATAGACATTAGAAGTTCCATAATACGAGTTATTCGATGAATCGATTATTAAATAGAGGCGTTTAAAGCTAGCCACTGGTTGAACGACTATGAATACTAATGCTTGGTGCGTGATCGGTAAATTTAAATAGGTATAATTTAATAATGTTTATTAAATTCTCCATTCGTTCGTGTCAACCTTCTATGCGATCGAATCTAATTGTGTTTATATCTCTTTAACCGTGTCCTATCTAAAATTAGAATTTGAATAAATTTATTTCTAAGGTTTTTTTTTTTTTAAGGACGAAATGGAATTTCGAAAAAGTCTTAGCGAGTAAAAAAGTTTTTTTCGTCCTTTTAAAAAAGTTCATTCGCGAAGAAACAATACGTTCGAAAGCATACATCGATAGCAACGCGGCTCTAACTTCTTTTCTTTTAACTGGCAACGTCGCGTCTGCAAGTTGACTCTACATCTAGATGCAGATTGCAGATGCAGTAAGAGGTTAATCCGTGGACTCTCAATTTTATATGCTTTTCATGATTTCTTTTTTTTCTTTTCTTTTCTTCTTTTTTTTTCTTTTTTTTTTTTTTTTTACTTCTCTCTTTCCTTTATCCTTTCCTCTACCTCTCTTTCGCATTAATTACAGTCGACGTCATACAGACCAGACGTATTTCATTCCAACATGTTCCATGGGATATTTCTCTACTACCTTCGTTCGTGCGTACCAGAAGTCAAATAAAATAACCACGCATAATTATCTTCATCGAGTAAATAATGTCTATACAAATAAATGTCTCGAAGGAAGAAGAGGAATTTAACTTTTTTTTTAAAAACGATATTTCACGAAAAATTTCTGGCCCGTTCGAATTGTTCCAATTGTTCCGCGTGCAAACACTTTCGAATATTATTTTAAAATCTTTGACAAAATTGAAAACGATATTCAAAGTTGAACAAAAAGATAATGACATTACACGCGATAATTACGGGATTCTCGATCCGAAATATTTTTTTGCACGATATCTGACGTACATCAAATATATAATTAATATTATATTCGTCATGCAAATGAACACTTGCGTCAACCGCGTGAAATTGTTTATCGTGTTACGTAATGGTTAATTGTTCGTTAGAAAAATTGAATGTTAAACCGGTTGTAATTGCCATATTGGATAAAAAATATCATATATCATTCGAAGATTAACTATTCCCCCCCGAATTATTAAACACACGATCGCTATTTCGAAAATAACAATATTTCTACGTACACCTAATTTCCGATATAACATTTGAACTTTATACTTTTCATATATCTACACGCTACGTAATAATCGAACGCGATCGAAATTATCGTTGCGTTCGTTCTTCGAAACGGTACATAAAAAAGAAATAAAAATTACCTGCCGAACAAAGGATGCCAAAGTTGCGACTCGTCGGGCGAACTTGCCGTGGAGCTGACTTCCGGTTCCTGTTTAAGCAAACCGCTCCTCACCCTGAGCAACGGTAGATAGGTATTGGTCCTTCGGCTGCTGGACAGATCGATCGGCGCTGGCATCAGGGTGCCGATCGGTTTGCAGCTGAGCTTGGGCCTCGTTTGCAGCGCGTTCTTCCTCCCGTTGCTCGCGTGGCCACCGGGCCCCCCTTTGTTGCTCGCCCCGTTGTTGATCCTCGGATGCGACGATTGCCGCGACCTGGACACCGGCCCCTCGCCGTGATCTAGCACGTGCTGAAGATGGGCCAACGATATCACCAACAGATCCGGGTCTCGGAGGAGATCCGGCCTGGTCAACGCTTCCGGCAACCTGAGCTCGGGCCTCGAGGCCAACAGTTTGGGGATCTCGGCGGCCGGGGCGGCCGCGAGGCCCGGCAGATAGTCCCTGGGAACGAGTAGGGGGTCCGGTATCAGGTGTCCCGACGTCTCGATCAATTCTCTAAGTTGACTAGCGGGATCGAGAAGCTTGTCGGTGCTGGTCGACGTGGCGCAACCCTCCTCCATAACTTGATGCACCCGCACCTTCGCACCCCTCTGACACGTGGACTGGCTCTTTTGCCTACCGCATACGGACCACTCGGCCGACATGGGCCTCTTGGCCCCGCGCTCCGCCCCCGCGAAATACGTGCTACTGTGAATGTCACCGCTCGACATCGGCCTCCCACAGTTCCTCACCTCCTGACCGTGAACGGTCGACCGCTCTTGGAGACAACTTTTGCCCCCCCTCCCCCTCGATGGATGGTGATCGAGGCGGGTAGGAAGGTGGTCGCTGGGCACCTGATCGCACCTGTTCGAGATCTCCTTCTGCTTCTCGTGATCCCTCATCTCCATCTGGTTCGGGGAGGACAGTATACCCTTCAACGTCAAATCGTTCTTCGCGTCCTCGGAACAGGACACCGAGCAAGGAGGGCTCGGCAGCAACCTCTCGAGGTAGGCGGACGAGGGCCTCCTCGAGGCCGGGGAACACGGTATACCGCTCGGCTGGGGGGACACAACCGTGCCACGAGTTCTCAGCTCCTCGAGCACCTGCTCGTCGAAGTGTTCCACGTCCTGATACTTGCACTTCGCCTGCGCCTCGCTGCTCCTCCCGCTCGAGCTCATCCTTCGCGCCTCGCCCTTCTTCCCCCCCTCGGCTGCCTTCGAACGCTCCTCCGAGTTCCCTATGCCCTGCCTGTGGAAGTAATCCAGCGAGTCTCGATTCTGACGTCTCAGATCCTCCAACACTTGCGAGTCGCAATCGTCCTCCTCCTCCTCCTCCTCCTCCTCCTCCATGTCTCTTTCCTCGTCCTCCTCCTCCTCCTCGTCCTCCTCCTCCTCCTCCTCCTCCTCCTCGTCCTCCTCCTCCTCGTGAAAGAATCCCTCCAACCTCGACTCGACCTCCCCGCCCCCGTAACCCTCGCTCTTCGGGAAATTCACCGTGCTTTCGGGGGATTCGACTCGCGACTTCGCGCTCGGCGACGAACGACTCGCGATCGCCTGAGAATTTCGGTATCGATAACTCGGGATGATGATGGACAAACCGGGAAGATTTTTCGGGGGCGTGGAGGTGGAGGTGGAGGTGGACGTGGAAGTAGAGGTGGAAGTGGTGGTGGTGGCGTTGATACGATCCTGGTGGGAGGACTCGGTCGCGGAATCGGCAGGATTGTTGTTGTTGCCGCTCTTCAACAACCTTTCCACGCACTCGGCTTGGGAGTCGGGCGAGCGGCTGGACGAGGACGCCTTCGAGGCGGGCCTCGGCGCCGCTGGCCCGCACTTGGCCATTTCGGGGGTGTGGGTCCTCGTGATGGAGACGGAGAGGCCGGGCGTGTTCCTCAACGCGTTCAGGATCTTCGAGCTGTCGTTGTAGTCCGTTATCTTCACGGGTTCGCCGGGATCGTCGGGACGCTCCTCTTCCAACTGGCCGCCCTCCTCCTCCCCCCTCCTCCACCCGCGAGGGTTCGGCCCCCGTTTCCCCCGACTCCCAACGCCACCGTCCGCTTCCGCGATCTTGCACGCGGATTGCTTCGACTCGCCCTCGTCGCTCTTCATGGAAACAATAACGACCTCGTCCTTCGCTCGTCCAACGCTCCCCTCCTCCTCCTCGTCTCCGTCCTCCTCGTCCTCCTCGCCCTCCTCGTCCTCCTCGCTCTCGGTCTCCCGATAACCGAGAATTTTCTCCCCGTGTATCTCGATTTTACCCTCGGCAACGTTGTCCGCGTTGCTTTTGTTGATTAACGGGTCGGCGTGTTGTTGATAGCTGGAGACGGCGTCGCACGTGGTGGCCGCCCTCGACGATTGCTCCCCGAGCCCCCTGTTCGCGGCCAGTTGCTCTTGGACGAGTTCCGGAGGGGGGGGATCGTTCGCTTTGCCCTCGAGAACCTGGTCGTAAGTTTTCGTGGAATCGACGGGGAGATCGGCGCTAGGCGTGTCGGTGGCTAGAACCGGGGAGGCCGTGACATCGATCATGTTCAATATGTCCTGAATGCCCGCCTTGTTCCCGTGCCTCCTTCCCTTTTCGCTGTCCGCGGCCTTCCTTCTCCTCCTCCTCCTCCTCCTCCTCCTCCTCTCCTCCTCCTCCTCCTCCTCCTCCTCCTCCACGTCGTCCTCATCCCCGCTCGTCTCCCCCTTCCTCCCCTGAAGGACATTCCGATGAACGCCCTCGGGCAATCGGGAAAAGTGTAGCTGCTCCAACACGACTCGCGGTTGGAACAGCTTGTCCCTCTGCAGCCTTTCCAGCTTGTTGTTCCTCCTTTCCTTCCTACTTCCACCTCTCCACGCCTCCTCTTTCTCCGATATTCCGTCATTCCCTTCCTCCTTCCCCTCGTTCCCGCCTCCTTCCTCCTCCCCCCCCTTCCCCTCCTCATCCTCATCCTCATCCTCCTCCTCCTCCTCCTCCTCCTCCTCCTGCTCCTGCTCCTCCGCCCCCCTCTCTGCCTCCTCCTCCTCGTCCTCGTCCTCGTCCAAGCAACGCACCCTTCGCCGTTCCTCGTCCCAATTCGCGTTGTTCCTCATCTCCTCCAGAGGGAAGCCGTAAGCTGTCTGCCGACACTTTCCGGCCTCATCGCGGCTCCTCTTCCTCCCAACGTGCCCCCCTCGCGCGGCCAAGCCATTGGTCCGCCCGTTCGGGGGGGCCGATCCCTTCGCCACGTGCCCCCTCTTGCCCGCGAGTTTTCGCGCCCCCTCGCCCCCCGATGCGACTTTCGAGCAACTCGAAGAGGAGTTTGCGCCGCTCTGCGTCTTGTGCACGGCTGCGGCTGCGGCTGCGGCGATGCCCAGCATGTTGGACGCCGTCCTCGGTATCGAACGCCATCCCTGCGCCGTCTTCGTCAGCTTGATGCGATTCCTCTTGTCGTAGTCCTCGCATCTCACCTCGACGATCCTCTGCTCCCTCTGCGAGGCCCAGAGAAATATCGGGTTCACCTTCGGCCGCTTCTCCCCCGGCCCCTCCTCCTCCTCCTCCTCCCCCCGGTAAGCCTGCCTCTGATGCTTGTGGTGGTGGTGGTGGTGGTGGTGGTGATGATGACGCCTTTGACGACGGGGCGCTGTGCCCCGTGCAGGGGCCCCGCTCATCACTCCATCCAACGAGCGGTTGTTACTCTGCCACCCGTCCACCGAGGCGACTTCCTTCTCTCCTTCTCTGCCCGCCTTCCCCTTCTCTTTCCTTCAAATAAACAAACTTTCCACGAGGAACCACACTGTGCATCAAAATAGTAGCGTGATATCCGTTCGAGAGTAATTTCGAAATATTCCTTCTTTATTGCAGTCGTTGTTAAAGAACGAGAGGATCTTTATCGGTAGATCACATCGTTGAAACGTGTCCCCGTCTCCCCGTCAACGTGTATCTCCGTGCCGTGGTGGCTCCATCGACTGAGTAATTAGTTCGTATCACGGGCAGGCATTCACCCCGCGCACCCTCCTCCTCCCCCCCTTCCCTCCCCCCTTCCCCGGCCTCGACTCACCCCGAAGTCAATTTCTCACCGTCCATTAACAAACAACAAGTCGGTTTCGTTGAGCAAGCGGCGACGATCGATCTCAAGGGCATTGACATTGTTGACCCACCACTTTCGCGACCAAGATGCACCGGACATGACACACTCCCCCACGTATTCTTTCGGTAAACCGGAACCCCTTCTCGACGAAGAAGAAGAAGAAGAAGAAGAAGAAGAAGAAGAAGAAGAAGAGGGGAAAGCCACGCGACACCAAGGGAGGCTGGGGAAAGAAGAAGGCGAGTTTTCGAGGGCAGACTTTTGGGATGTTTAATATTTGTAAGAGAGATTTGGATTAGATTAAAAAAAAATGAAATCATTCACTTGCGTCGATTTTCACCCACGAGGCACGTACGTCTCTATCCGTGCACGAGAAATGTCGATTTGCATCGAGCTTGCGGCGTCGACTCCGTCGAGCTTACTCGGCTGGCAGCACTGAGTACGTTCGACCCGTCGAGCTTCTCTCCAACGCTCCAACATTCGCCTCTCTCTCTCTCTCTCTCTCTTTGTCCGCGAGGCTCTTTCCTCTCTCTCGCTGGTTACACGGTGGTTGCGCCGGCCTTGTCGCACCCTAAATCTCTCTCCTCGAAATTCTTTAATCCTTTCCACTGTCCCGACTTCGCGACTTCAAGGTCCGTTTCCAACCAAGCGCTCCTTCTCTCTCTCTCTCTATATCCCTCTGTCCTTTTTCTTGTGCCTCCTTTCCCCCTCTTTCGATATTTGTTTGTTTACTATTTCTTTCCACTTCGATTCATAGATAGCGATTCTATGTTCCTCGACCGACGCACCGATCGACCACGATGAAATCGCGCTCGTCCAACAATTGTCATCGATGACATAACACCGTGAACAAACTTATCAACCGGTTACATGTCGTTACGCGCGGAGTCACTGTCTGGGAGCTACTGTCGGTACCTCCTCGTTGCCTTCCACTTCGTCGCCGCCGCCCCCGCTCCTCGGAATCGCGACTCAGGATCGGATCTATCCGCGACGCCCCTCGTCTTGTTTCCTTTCCTTCGTTTTTTTTTTTTTTTTTTTTTTTTTTTTCCTTTCCGTTTTCCTTCCTTTCTTCCTTCCTTATCGTCCCGTTCGGCTCCTTTCTCTCTCTTTCTCTATCTCCTTATCCCGGTTATAACGGACAGTTCTGGGAAATATCGAGATTTTTAATGAGACATCGTTGAAAAGAAAAAGAGATTTTTGTTCGAGATTTCGTTCAATTTTCGGGAAAATTTCACGCGCTTCTAGTGTCGCAATACTAATGTTATGACTATGTAACGTCGGTTATTTCTGACCACGTTCAGTTTTGTTTCAATGCGGATGAGAATCGTAATAATTCTTTTTATATTTATTTATTTATTTTTTTTTTTTAAATAAAATGGTTTGAAAAGAAATTCGATAAAAATTTTATTATTGTGAGATTATATCTGTGTATATAATTGAATAAAAATTTTGTGTATTATCGATAATTAAATTCTTTTCCCTTTTAATAATCGTTAATAATAATTATCATGTTTGTTATCTATAAGATGATCAAGTTTCGATTCTTTCCTTCCGACGACGGATCAAATTCATTTAACATTCCAATTAATTTAAATAATCTTGACGTCGGAATAGATATTGTAATTTCGTGCTTTGCAATTGTGTGTGAGTGTGGATAACCGCGTCGGAAGTTATTTATAAAGTAAAGTGTGTTTCTACATTTTCAACGCGAGATTCGCTCTTCGAAAATTCTTTGTGCCAAAATTAATATGACAACAAAATATTTTTATACCAACCTAATTAAAAACTGAAAATGTTGTAAACTTTGCAATAATTAAACATCTTCATAAATATATTGAAAAACCACGTGCGAATTTCGAAATGTTATCGAATACATTTTATTCGATTCGATAAAGAAACGTTTTAAATTTCATCTATAAATTTTCCCCAAGCCAAATAATAATCTTGCTTCTTGCACAATTTCTATTTTCAATCATTGAATTATTACAAAAAGAAAATTAAAACGATTAAATTTCATTTCATAATAAAGCATATATATATAATTTTTTTAAAATTAAAGTCGACGTGATTATAGAAAAAGTTTTATTCGATATAAAAAAATATAAATTACAAATTACTATTGGGGAAAAATTTTTACCCTAAAACTTTTCCACGTGTTGATATTAATATAATTGATAAATTATCAATGAAAGAGAGCCTTGATATTAATTCCAATGTCGCGGGGTAACGGAACGCGGTGCGCCGGCACTGTCGCGTTCTTACCCCTTACCCCGAGATAGCCAGCTCGCGACCGGAGCACCGACCATGGAAAGAGACCGAAGGTACAACGAACGAGGACGGAGCGCGAAGGAAGAGAATGGGATAACCTGTGTGTATATACGGGTATACAGAGTGTACCGAAGGTAACTTCGATTACAATAGTATCAACGATTTTACCGGCATTAAAGCGGAGTAACAAAAAAAAAAAAAAAAAAAAAAAAAAAAACCTCGTCGATTNAAAAAAAAAAAAAAATCCTCGTCGATTAACCTTATACGCGTTATCAACAATCCTCCTCCTTTCGTCGTTTTATTTAAATCGTCCATTTCCGATAACGAGATATTCCTAAACATTTCGAAGCACGACAAATTAGCACAAGGTCGTGATCAACTGAGTTAAACGGGCATCTTTTTTTTCTCTCTCTCTCTCTCTCTCTCTCTCTTTCTCGATTCAATATTGGAATTACGCTACGACTTTATATCGACGATTCTACTCGTTTGTCGCTTTCCAATTCGTACACGACTCGCGTATCACGGACTCGTTTTTCCGTTCCGTACAGAATTGTTGCATGAAGAGAAAGAAAAAAAAAAAGAGAAGAGAAGAGAAGAGAAGAAAAAGAAAGGAAGAGGGGAAAAAAAAAAAGGACGTTGGTATTTTCAGAACGAGAGATTTACCCGTGTCCCCGACGAGGAACTAGTTTTCGATAAACGAGCACCTCCTCGTTAAGTGGCTCCACGAAGGGGGCCGAAATCGTACTCACCCTATATCCCCGAGCGTTGGCGGGATAGAGAGGGCCGGGAGGTGAAGGTGGGAGAGAGAGGGGCGTGCGCGAAGAGGGAGCGGTGGGACAGAGAGAGCGAAATATTTTTATTAAAAGGGAGGGAGGCGGCTTAATGGAGGGAGAGAGACGGATTCGCGGCGCAGTACACCGTGTCGGATGCTGATGCTGCATTAAGCCCCGTTTGCACTTCCGCCCTTCCATTCGCGAGCTTCGATCCTTTTCATATGCTCCCTTCGCGTTGTTCCGTTCCCAGGAATTGTGTTTTCGATCATTTTAATTTCATAGTGTAGTAATATTCCCGCCAATTCTACCGAGAGTAATCCCGCTCGCGGTGTGTGTACGTCGTTGTCGCGTTGATTTATTTTTTTTTTCTTTTTTTTTTTTTTTTTTTTACGCAAGCATTTTCGCTCCAACGAATTTGAATGAAACCGTGGTGGAGATTTGGAACGCTTTGAAGGGAATAATAGCATCAGCCGGATCCGATGAACGTCAATTACGACGACGAGTAAGAAAGAAAAAAGAATGAAATTCACCCGTCTGGTATGGTTAAATTGGAACGAAATACAATTCTAAAATGTTATTGCTTTATTAACGAGAATGTTTCTTTTTTGCGGGGAAATTATAAATTTACATTAAAATGAAAATGAACGCGATGTTAAAACTAGAAGAACGCAATAAAAATAATTATAATTATATGCTAGATAGAGTAATAATCAGTGATGATCATATAGCTAAAAATAAAATTCTATGTGTACACACAGTAGGAATAAATTATTTAATTTGTATCACAAATATTAGATGCACGATAATTTATATCAAATTTTTAATACAACTTTTATACATTTTGTGCACTTTTACATTTCAAAGAATATACGAAACGAGATACACAATGAGACAAGTCTCATTGTGTGGTGAAGAACCATCGACAAACAATGTTACGAAGAGGGGAACTGTATTATGTCTAAGGACATAATCATAAAAGAAATCCTTCCAAATGGAAGTATTATTGACTCGGTGGCAGTGTTGCATACCAATAAATATGATATCGACTTTTCGAATTTATAATTTCGTCATGCAGACATCTTATCGACTCTCGGCCGATATATGGCCGAGGAAACGATACACATTGTTAACTATGGGACTGTTTTTATCGAGTAAAACTAGTCTTCCTCGTGTTTGTTCGCGACTTAAGGCAAACACGAGGTATACCAACAAGGTCACGTGATGGACTTCGTTCAGGACGAGACGAGGGAGCATACATAGAAGGGAGACGTCACTGACCGTGAACGCACGCGAGACTCGCGACAATTTTGTCCACGACATAGCAGGAACTCCGTGCATCGGCAGATAAAGCGGAAGAATGCGGCCTCGATGAACTTTGATTCGGGGAAAATGCGCTTTCTGCCATTTTCTAATCGGCCCTTTCTAATGGACGGTTAAAACGAATATTGGTTGAAATGTATTCGTCGTCTATAATATCTACGATTAAATATTCTACGATGAAATATCTTTTTCACTGGGAAAAAATATTTTCAAACGTTCCTAGATAAATTGTACATATAGATAAATAAAAATGTTCCTAAAAGAAAAAGAAATCGAGGAAATCTATCTTCAACTGAATATAATTTACTATTCGTAACAACTGCAACACATGAATGGCTTCCGTCAAGTAATCCGAGGAAGTGTTCAATGTTCATTTGACGAAACATCGAGGAAATGTATCTGATATTGGGATACATTGATTTGAGATGATTAAATGCGATTTTTATTTTTTGTTTTTTTTATACTTCTATTAGAAATTCTATTTAATTAAATATAAATGAATAAAATTTGATATATTGTAATACGTATTCATAATAAGTAGTATTGCAATTAATTTGTAAATAGTTATTACATAATATTGAATCCATATATACAACGAATAACGCAAGTTTCATTATCTTCTTTTTGAATAAAAATATAATATGTATATTATAATAATTTATTGAAATATATATAAAAAAATTGTACTTAAAATTTTTTTTGGAATAAAATTAATATTTCATATAGAAATCTGTGTTATCGGCTGAATGATGTTTGAGATTCACATCATTTCTTACCAGAGAGCACAATGGTTCCTTATCGTTCATTACTATTTTAAACGAAATTACAAAATGTAATTCTTCCATCAATTAAAAATAATATTATAATTAAGAATTAAAAAATTCTGGATTAAAAAATTAACGTGTAACATTTAGATATTTATGAATTTATCGAACGATAGACACAATAACGATGATTATTAATATTTGGATTAAATTTATCGACGTTATTCATCTAGATAACGATCTTGCATTTATGGAATGATCCTTATATTATTTTAATAATATCAAAATATAAATATAAATCGTTTATCTCGATATAGCGAATGCTAATATTATAGTACAAATATTTTTCCTCTTCTTGTTATTCTCATTTTCCAATTCGTTGTAAAATTATTAAAAAATGTTTATATTATGGAAAATCGTTTTAAACATAAAATAAACAATATCTCTAAACTTGAAACGATATTTTTAGTATACGATGTTGAATAAAAACATAAAAAAAATTCTCACATATATATATTTGGCCTGATACTTCCTGATCGCTACAGGTGGTCTGGTAAAACCTTCTTTTAGGTTTGGTACGCCTACACGATTCAAGACGTCATTGGATTTTCTCTAGTCCAACTCATTCCATTCTTTCGTCCGATTCCATTGATGTTAACAACATAAACCGGTGAACTGGTCGCTGGTACAACTCGTTACGTCAATTGCTAAATTTGAATTTCACTCGGCTTCGCAGAAGTTTAACCTCTCTGGACGTCAATCGAATCACTGAACCTAACTAATCGATCGAAACGCCGTACAATTGGCGGGAATTTACACATACCGGCGGGAATTTACATATGCCCGCGGGAAAATTTGATTTTAATTTCTATGATTATTGCGAAATTCAATACTTACACAAATTTTACAAAATTGTTCAGTTGCATAAAAATACGAATATATATCGAATTATGAATAGAATTATGATACAATTGATAAAAATCACGAATGATGATGCTCCCTTCATAAATCTTTTTTAATATCAAAAATTTATACGTATATTGATTGATTGACTGTTTTTATTCCATTGTATATCTATATTTCGTAAAGAATATAACTTCAATTTTTTTATTTTTTTTTTTTTACTAAACACTTTCATCCAAAATAATATATTTTCGCGACTTTTCTTCAACAAAGATCTGTTTCATCGTTACAATCGCATACATGTATTCAATTTTTTTCTGAATACTCACATTGACGTCAGACATTATTTTTACTGGAAATATTATGTATATATAAAATCAACGATTTTAGTTAGGAATTTAATTATATTATGCATTCATCATCTATAATTGATTGAACAATAAGTATATCAAGAAACATTCACGTTGATAGATCATACATGTTCTATTATCTTTTCATTTGATTTTATTAACGTATATATGTGATATTTGTACAAAATCTATTTATAAAGTTGTTAAACTGAAAATTGTTTCAAATATTCAAAAATAAAAAATACGAGAAACTTACTCATCGTTTTATCTACCATGTATCTATTACTGTGTGTAGTATACAATAATATATCTGCTCCATCATATATTGCGTAACTTTTTATCACTTCACTCAGAAAAAAATTAATTTTTCTAAGAATCTTATCTTCGAAAATTAATTTCTTTCTATATTTAATTTGATAAAAATTTTCGGAACACAAATACGAATATAAATAATTTCAAATAAAAATTAATTTTTTTTTTACAAGAAAGATAATTTTACTGTTTCGATAAAAATTATAAAATGAAGATAAATGTGTATTTAAATGCCTCGACAATAAATCACAATGTATATTACAACCGGAACTGATAAGAAAAATTTTTCTTATAAAAACTTTGTCATTTATTTACAATAACTTCTTTGTGTGTAAATAAGTGATTTATATTAATGAATGAAATTAATATAATTCTTTATTTAATATAATGATAAAAGAAAATTGATAAAATAAACTTGCGAATTCTTAAACTTCTAGTCAGCTCTAAGCCGATAAACCGATCCTGGTTTCTCTCTAAATTTATCGCTGGTGATTAATCCCTGTAACTGTAGATAATATAAACTTCAAAAAATTACAAAAACCGTTGATCATATTACTCGTTCAACAACCGTTCAAAAATCCACATTTCATCGACACATCTTTATCACCACGACGATCTATACAATTTACGTAGGACGTGGAGACAAATTTTTTACATTTTTTTTTTCTTTTTTTTATTTTACATTTTAATTAAGATCCATCCATAAAGATAAAATTCGTAAAAAGTTAATTATAAACCGCCATGCTATATTTACTCCGTTCAAATTAAATCGAAGGAAGAAGGTGATTTGGAATCGAACAAATGCGCATCAAGATATTCTGCAAATATCACCTGCATCGAGGAATAACAACGGTTCTGTTACGCACAAAAGTTGGCCGATCCATCCGGATACTACAATCCGAATTCGGGGAAAATCGTTCAAATGAAACTTTGCATTTCGCGGAATGATATTTGTAACAAAGTTCAAAACTATATATATTGTACGCTCACGCCTACGTCATCTCGATCGGCGATAATAGAAAAATTTTCTCCGATATTACGTCACATTATACCGATATCGTTCGTAAAAGTATTTTTTAACGAGTAGAAAGGGAGGTTGACCGATATCGCAAATTCATTGAATTTTCCTTCAAACCGTATATTCGACGTATTATTATTATTATTATTATTATTTCTTTCTTTCTTTTACGTTTCATTTCAACGAACGAGGGGGGAAAAATATTTAATCCTTGTTCCGAATGTTTTCATTTTGATTCATAGTTATATTAGTTATTCCGATTTTATCGAAGAAAGAATACGTCGTATTCGAATCTATTTTCAATTTACATTTTCAAAAATGTGAAAAAATCCGCACGATCGAAATCAGAATGTCGAAAGACAGGTTGTGTTCGTACCAGTTATACTCTCCTCTCAAAGAGACAGGCAAAGAGTTATGCTTGCTTTAGAAAAATGGACTTTTTTCACCTGGTAATAGAGATCCAAAATTTAATCAATCCCAATCGATATTTTTGATCATCGACCAATGTGTTTCGTGCATTTTAAACGTGATTGGATAAGAGATAATCAACAAGTAAAATAATACGAATCGCAACAGTGTGTAACGACAATTATTATAGCAAGGCTATCGAAAAAAATTGATAAATTAAATGATAAAGTGGATTAATCCAAGCAGATATTTATCTTTTAAACAATTTATGTAAGTACATTAATCATTTTATATATATAATATAACAATACGTGTATTAAAATATTTTATTTTTCTTGTTAACCTATATTCTCTTTTTAACCTATAAAATCATGAAAATTGAAACGATCGATATATGGGATGGATTACGCGTTGAACGTAACTAACCTACGATATATAATTCGATAAAGAAGAAACTCTTTTCATTCCCTTTTTTGAATGATCCATCCGATGTGTAATTACAACACCTGTCTACTCGATCTAAGAATGTAAGTATGATGCATCGTACGAGTAATCGTGCACTGATAAATAAAGGCCTTGTGCCTCGAGGAGTACGGCCAGTGCGCTGGCGGACATCGATGGGTGAACCACGTGGATTTCGACAGATATATACATATATATATACATACATACAATTACGTGATTCAATAAATTTAAATAATATTAATTGACAGAAGAATAATCGCATTAGCATAATACGTTACGACAAAAATCGAAAAAAGAAAAATTATCATCAACCCGAACGATTTAATTTCAATTCGATCGAAATCGAAAGTGAATATTGTTGTTACGCGCGAATCGTGTTGTTAGAATTTGTCGTCTTTTTTCACGGGTTAATCAAATGATAATTGGCAAGAGTGAGATAAAAGTTATGTAATTTCAATACGAATGTATTGTAATCAATTTTTTTTTCCCAAGTGGATATATCTTAGCAGTGTGAAGGAACAGGTATGATATAATAATTACGATTCGATACACAATTTTATAATTATAATGAAGATACAATTCGCGACGACGAATATAATTTTTTGATCCTTTCTTATATAATCATCTTATTATTATTTCTATCAAAGATTCGGTTTTTTCTTCTTTGAAATAACGGATCCAGGATCATTCATTTTTATTACACTCAATGTCATTTTAATATGACGCTTAAGGTATCTTTTCTACGAGCTATCAATTCATCGGGTTTTTACCGAGTTTCGTTACATTCGATAGATGACTAATTTTTCGGTTATTCCTTTGTCGCATCTTACAATATTAATTCATTAATTAGCATAATCGATAAATGCTTCTTGAAAGTTACGTCGCGATTATGATTGATTATTGATTAAATAACCACGATTAAATAAGGTTATTTACAAATAAAATAAGGTTATTTGTTATTCCAGATCTCGTTCGAAAGACTGCGAAATTTCAAGCACGATACAATTGACGAATTATTAAGACAGGAAAGATTACTAGTTTTCTTTAGTTAAATATACCGAAATGATTTTGCTGTTCGACGAAATAGACGCATAGACGAAGAAGAAGAGAAACGTTGTTCTGTCGAAGTTAATACTCGTGCCAATCTTAACCTTATTATTTTCCTTATAGTTCAGTATTTGATCGAAAAGTGAGAAAATAATCAGAGAGAAGGAGGAGTTGTATAAACTAATAGAAATGCGTGTGTAATATCTTGGAAATAATAACTCTGTAATAACCTCTCTGAAATCTGTCTTTGACTCTTTAACCAAGCATTTTGTTTCGATTTGAATAATTTCAATCAAGTATTTGGAGAAAGTCATCCTGTGAAAAATATAAAAAAAAATACAGTCAGAATCAAGAGTCATAGAAGAAATATATAAGAAGATATATATATATATGTATTAGAAGAAATATATAAAGAATGTTATTAACCAGAAGAATATTTCGAATTTTCTATTTCTCTCTGGCTGCATATAAAATTTCTTTAATCGGGCAAAGTTATTTTCACTAACGAGAAAGGAAGAAGAAATTAGACTGAGATTGAAAAAATCTGTAACTAGTAGAGTGGCATTAGGCAAGGAAAAAATTTGGAAAATTTTGGAAAAGAATCTGTTTTACATAAATATTTAAGCAACGTTGTAAAACGTTTTTTACGTCAGTGTTTGCAGAAATAGAATCGAAAGAAAGAAAAAAATGTCTGGAACTGTGAAAAAATTTTTAGTGTTATTGCAGATTTTTTTTTTCGAATTGACGATTTGCGCTGCTCGCATAGATGAACCGCCGATCATTCATTCGATTCCTTTGGTAAGTATTAACTCATTCAAAGATAATCTTTAAATATGATAAGACATAATGCAAACGTATCAATTTCTCAAATTGCTTGAAAGTTACGCAATAAAAATTGAAATTATAAAAGAATCTTATAAAGTCATAGTTTAAGATTGATAATGGAAAGTATCTTGGATATAGATATAACGAAGTTCGTGATTTGTTGGAAAAAATGTTGAGAAAATGTTTCATTCATTAAAATTTGTTTTCATGAAGTTACTTCACAAAGTTAAAGATCAACTTTGAAAATCTTAAATCAATATTCATGCATGCAATATCCATTTAAATAATGGGAATAATTGGATAAAGTTTTCTGAATTTTTTCACATTGTGAATGATAAATGAAAAAATTGATAAACACTTCTAAATAGTATTACATAATAATCTACATAATAAGATTAATAATTCATTCCATTGAAATGTAAAATCATTAATTATAAATGTTTACTTAAACTCTTGTAAAATTTTGTATTACATTACGTTGCATTATATTATTTTATCAATGAAATTTTCGTGGTTGGATAGGGAATTCCTTTGATATCGATAAGATAAATTTTTAGATCGATTTGTACTTTAGACATGCGTAAAAACGGCCTTCGATTTTATCCTACAGGAAAACAAGACAACAACACTCGACGAGTACAAAAATTTACCTGTGGTTGGAAAATGTTGCCCGGTAGGCGAAGTTTTTACAATAAACGTAACTGGCCAAGCGGTTTGCACAGTTATGGATTCCTTCATTATCGAAAATTTCTCTCCTATTTTCCATGATTTTAATGATTCTGGTTATCTGGTTCCCGGTAAGGTTCGAAGTCCATTTGTCGCGATTATTGGAAATCCCTGTAAATACAAAAAGTGAGTACAAAATATTCAAATTATTACGTACATACTTCAGAGTTAAATTAATATTAATTTTACTCAACTTTTATTTGAATATCGTAAAATTGAATATAAATAATCAAATCTTCCATGTTCTTTCTCTTGCTTTCAAATGTCAAAAAGAAAAAGTAATTCTCAAATCTATTGTATCGTAATATCGTGCATTCTTTATATTCAAGTTTTGTATTCAAGGATAAATAACAATCTTTTATAATTCAAATGCAAATAATGATTGCAATTAATTTCAAATATTATCTTAATCTATCCTCTATATTTCTAAGAATGCAGTTTTGCGCTGAAACTATTAAGCATACATTAGGAGGATATAATTTGAAAAAAAATAAAATTTTGCATTATTCTTCAGGTATATTTTAAATTCAAGCGAAGACGAGCAAGATTTTCATTTATTATTAACGAATGGTTCGATATTTGCACCCGAACACGATCCAAAAATATTGCAACCTGGAATCGATTACTGTATAGAAATTATTCCAGAGATGGGAATCAACACTTTTGTGTGTTTTCCTGAAGGTGAATTCTAAAATACATATACATATATATTGTTAATAAAATTCACGTGTTAATTTGCGTATTAACATTAACGAAATTGTTTTAGATCGCGTAATAATAACGGCAGACTCTCGAATTACGATCTACGCTTGTGGCCTTTTAATATCCGTACCATTCTTAATTCTTACAATCACTGCGTATTCCATCACACCAGAGTTGAGAGACGTATATGGAAAAGCAGTGTGTCGTTATTGCGGATGTTTGGCTCTTGCTTTCGTCATGTTAGTAATCATACAATTATGGAATATAGAATTGTCGAACCAAACTTGTATAAATATAGGTAAGATGATATATTTGATATCTAATAAGTCATATAATCGTTAAATATAGATAAAATTACTTACACGAAAAAAAATTCTTAAGTACTTTATCTGAAATTATCAGATATTGTTACGACAGAATTGTATCTGAACTTAAATTTCTTATTATTTAAATCCTAAATAGTGAAAAAAATCCTAAATAGTGAAAAGAAACAATAATACGCATTATATAAATTCTAGTTATATAAGTCATAATATATTCTTTAACGAGTTCAAATGAATGAAATTATATTCTATTGTTACCGTACACAATGTAATTAATCCAGTGGAATATTATGAAGTAGAATGATATAGCAAAGTTCAATGTCGTTTTTTAGAATTTAAGATCAACAATGCGATTGAATTTTCCAGCATTCATTATCCAATTTTCTTTCATCGCCTGCTTCTTCTGGCTAAATGCGATGTGCATTGAAATGTGGTTATTAGTGCGTTTCTACGTCGGTAAATGTAGGAACAGAGGATACTGTCGGGAAATCTGCGAAAGGACGGAATCAAGAACGTTATTTTTTTGGTATTCTTTATGGTGTTGGGGTCCCTCGGTGATACTTATCCTCGTCTCAATAATCATGGATCTTAATCCGATGATACCTGCGACTTACGTGAAGAATTTCGGCAAGGAAAGTTGTTCGTTCAAAGGTAAATTAAATATTTGAATTTCATTTCAGATTAACACGAAACATTTTGAGTAAATGGTATATAATTTATTGAATAATATAATAAGGATTCTAGTTGTCGTTTTTATTTTTATTTCTATGATATTTTCAAGAAATTCTTTTGATTTCAATTTAACCTCTATCGATATCCATAAAAAAAAATTTCACAGAATTATTATTAATCATATTAATCTTGAAATACATATAAATGATAAAATAATATTCAGTAAAATATTAAAACAAACATACCATTGTTAAATGAAAATTTTTAAAATTATTATTCTTGAATTTGTAGCTGAAGACAAAGCGATACCATACTTTTATATACCAATTGGATTACTTCTTCTTGGGAATGTGATTCTTTTTATTTTAACTTTCATCAAATTGACTAAATATCAAAGGGATCTTGATTTGAGACGTCTTAGGAGAAACGAACCATCGGATCAAGACGATCGAAGAACTCTTCGATATTTAATGAGAACCGCATTTGTCTGCATGCTAATTTTCTTCTTGATGGGCCTCAATTGGTCGATGGAATTAATATCCTGGTACATCAATGGAGATTCTTTCGACTGGTCCTCCTTCGACCTTGTAAACGCTCTTCAAGGTGTTCTTATTTTTGGTTTGTTCGTACTACGAAGGCCACCGAGGGACTTTATATGGAATAGAATACAAAAATTTCGAGGTATTAATGAAATACCAGAACGAGAAATTGGAAGCATGGAATTGGGTTTGCTTCAGATGATGAATGGTGATCCTGTGCCTAGATAGATATGATTATTGTTTAAAAATAATTTATTTTTCGATCCTTTCTCAAATTTGTTGAAACATCATAAAAGGATTACAAATCAACTGCCGAGAATGCTTGAAAGTTCCTTGAAGAGATGTACAATTTTAGTATAACTTATTTATAAAGTATTGAATTAGTCAAATATGGAAAAATTGATAATTTTTACGTATTTATTTTAAACAAGACTTATCGACTTATTATTTATTAATTAACGAGTTAGAAGAAATTAGTTATCTCACATCATATGAACAATATATATTTCATTAACATTATGTATAACAATTTATTTTGTATATCATCTTGATTTCAAATAAGCAATGTGATTTATAATTTATTTAAAAGAACTTGATTATGTGTTATGAATACAAGAATAATTTTATATTAATGAAAACTAGATATTATAGATTATGTATAAGTATATATATATGTATATTTAGATTTCATTGTTAGATTTTATTATTCAAAAACAAATTATATAAATTAATGAAAGAGAGATTTGATAAAATATATAATTTATTTTTGAGATGAATTTATATAAAAACATTTGCAACTTGTTTTAGTAGTGTATGTAAATTGTATGTATACTGATTACATAACAATAAGAAACCAAATAAGTTATATATATATGGAATATCCATATACATTAAAATCTGAGATTAAAAACTTTTTAATAATTTTTAAATATAAGATAACACGTTATTGTTAGTTAAAGATATTCAGTATCATATATCAATTTCATTTATTTATGTATCTATCATTTTTTAAATAAATATTGTTTTAAAACTGTTTTAAAACAGTTTAATTAATATTTATCTTTGTAATTAAAAAAGAAGTATATTATTTATTTTATGTATTATATTAATATTAAATATTCTTGTATTAATTATTATCATTTTAAGTATTCTCGTTTTTGTATTAGGAATAGATATCATTTCAATATATTTATTTCAACATAAAATCATAAATGATATTTGAGAAACTTTTTGACCAATGAAAAATATTTATTTGTATCTTTTGATACTACAGTGTACATTTGTTTGTTTTATTTCTGTTTCTAAAGTATTATATAAAAATAAAATAGTGTGGATTTGTATAACCAAATCCATTGCCACAATTATTACAATATTTTACCGATCGAAACGAAAAATTTCTTAACAAAATAATAAATATTGATTATTATCTACGAGTGCTTTTTCGAACATTAAGTACGCAAAATAATATTGGCATACTCGTTATAAGCTCTGTGATGTAAAATAATTAAGCATTAATGCTTTTGGGTAATAATTAATAACCCAAACCAGGTACCTAAAGTAATTTTTGAACATTAACGTTGTACAAGTTACATTGTATCATTTAGAGAGTATTCTTCACATTTATGCGTATTTTTGCTATTGCATTATTCAGTAAATACAAATTCAACAAAATTTTTACACATCATTTTATATATAAAAATATTAAATTATGTGATAAAGTAAGGAGTAATTTTCAAAAATTTATTACAAAAATATAGTTTTTTTTATTAATTAAATTATTTAATTGTTTAAAAGAAATTATTATTGAAAATTATTTACCGAATAATATATTTATATACTTGGTAATTTTTTTTCATTTTAAATATTTGATCATAATTTCAAGAAAATTTACATTTATACATAACTACACATATACATAATCATAACATATCAAATGTGCAAAAGTTTTCAAACTGATTTTCTGATTCTAATAATGATTTTATAATAATGATGACTAACAAAAATTATCATTTTAATATAAGTAAAATAAATTTGTACAAAAAATTTAAATAAAATTTGCTTTTTATAACTTGTTTTTTTAGTCACTATGCATTTTATGAAACATATAATAATTTAATTCATTATTATAATTACAAGATAATTAAGATAAGAGAATAAAAAATTAATATATGGAATATAATATTAAATTTGTTTGAAAAATAATAGTAAACACATTAAAAGCTTACTATAATAAAATCGATATATAATTTCAAATATCAGATATCTTGAAAAGAGATATCTGACTTATCTTCAATGTATATATATTTCATATATATCAATGTTCATAAGATCAAATAACATACTGTTAAAAGATAATACTTTCGAAGATATTCAATTTTTTTCTTTACAATTATCTTTATTTATTTTTATAAAACAAATAAAGATATATTATAAGCAATTTAAATCATTAATATTTTTTAAAGTTCATTTAATGTATATGTTGCATAAATGTAAAGTAATATTCTAATCTTTTAAAAATAACTATTATAAGAAAATAACAAAATTATAAAGCTCAAAAGACAAATCATTTGAATAAAATAATATTCAATCACTCGGTGAAACTATTCGTATGAATTTGATAATTTTTGAACATACATAAAGTGTCACAATTATATATTAAGTAATTATCACTGGTGATTATTATTGGTGATTATGACGCATAAACTAATTGAAAAACTAATTAAAATTTATCAGATAGGTCTATGATGGCCTGGAAAAGGTGGGCTAACACCTAAAATTCCCAAAAGATTTCCTCGCTGAGCAACATAAACCAAACGATACATTCCGGGTGCTCGGAGAGCCGTATCATTAAAATAAATTCGTTCAATAATCGAATGAGGTTCAAAAGGAATTGGCGATGATTTACCTAATATAAATTTTTATTATAAATTCGATAAAATAATTGTGATGTATTTAATATGAAAATATAAATAAAGTAAAATAATTGATATATTTAAAGAAGTATAAAAAAATTATAATATCTTACCTCGGCCCACATATTCATAAACAATATATTCATCTAAACTGGAAAATTCATTGGGAAATAAACCTACCCAATCACCACTAGCAGGTCTTGCATCTCCCAATAATTTATATGACACTGAATTTTCTTCATCTATAAACCAAGATGACACCGGTTGAAATTCTACACCATGATCTTCTATACATGGTCTGATCTGTAAATATAATATAAATCTTTGTATTAATAATTTTTATCATAATTAATTTTAATTAAATTTCATCAAAATTTTGTATTAATTATTATTATTATTAATGATTTTTATGATCCATAAAATCTTACAATAATGTCAAATTCACCAGTAACAGGTTTGTGATCTGATTGTATATAATTGGAATGACTTTTATAATTATGCTGAATGACATTTAATTTAATATCATCATAAATATTTGCATTTACTCTGTACAAAATTCTATCAGTCCATGATGGTCGACGTCTAACATGAAAAAAGAAAAATTTTTAGTTTAAAAAAAAAAAAATAATATAAATATAAAAATATAAAAATATAATAATAAAATACACATTACTTAAGATCAAATTCTTGAGATGCAAATTCATATTTATAAGTAGGAGGGAATGTAATAGCACTTTCATTCAATTCAGCAAAAGCTTCTCCTTTTTCCATTACCATCTTCAATTGATCTTTAGTTAACAAGGTTGTTAATTGATTTTTTTTAACCAATAAGTCAATCTCTGTGGCAGTTAAATCTTCTCCATGTAATCGAAAATTTAAATCTCCAATCCAAAATACGTAACTATATATATATATATATAGAAATAATAATAATAATATAATTGTATAATTGACATAAATAAATAAATTACTGTAAATATTTATAGAAAATACTATACTACTTACATTTATAGAAAATTAATTTATTTTCAAATTAAATTATCAATTCAAAAAAATAATTACTTACTCATGGAATAATATTCTTGAAGTATCTGGATTACTAAAGCTATGATTTGTAAGTATTGTATTATAATCCACAATTCTATCTGCCAATAAATGATCATGTGGTGTCAAGTGTGTATTTACTACACACATGTTAATTCCATATATATTTAATCTTATACTCACTGCACCTTTGTTTCCCTATAAATAATATATTTTTTTTTATTAAAAAAAATTAAAAAATAATTTCATGGAATCATAAAATATTTATGAAAAATTTTGTCTTACCCACATGCCTCCACATCCTGTTCGTGTATATTGAGTTTCTATCGATCTCAAATGTGTGATATGTTTTCTTAAGCAAAAAATATTTAGAACAAGACCCTGTAAACGCTGTGTACGTATTTTTACATAATCATACTTCTTTAACACTTCTCTACAAAAATTTTAAATAATAAAATTCTTTTCTAAAGAGAAAAGAACATATTAACATAATAATTAATAGTTTTCAGAAATTAATTACTAATTTACATATACAATTAAACTTATTGTATTAATATTTTTCATTTTTATGTTTATACCTGAAAGATTTAGTCCATGGATCTTCAAAGAATATATCCATTACCATATTTTGTGGTTGAGCTTTAACTTCTTGTAATCTAATATATATAATTTATAACATTAATTATGTATGTATTTTATATATAATATATATATATATATATATTTATATAAAAAAAATATATATACCCAATAAAATATAAATCAGCTAATGTTCTTGAATTGTTAATATTATTGAGATCAAGGAGTTTATTCAAACTTTGTTCTGGATATTTTGTTGCCACATTCCATGTAACAAAATATATTCTAAATACACGATAAATAATTTTATTTTATTATTAAAATTATTTATAATAAAATATAAACAATAAATAAATTGATCAAATTGATCAAATATTATATACAAGCGCATATCTTTAATTTGATATTAAATTTTTAATTCATCATTTAAATGTGAAATATAAGTAAGATAAAAAGTTACAGTGTAATATAATATGTATGTATAATCAGAAAAAAGAAATATTGAATAAAAAGTATATAGATAAAAAAGCATACAAAAATTTTACTTACCTAAGATATTTCAATTTGTCAGCCATTTTTAAATATTATGATATAAGTTGTAACAAAATTTTACTTTAATTTTATTAATATTAAAAATCAGGTACACTATGCAATGTTTTCCAACATGTTTTATAGGTTAAGAAATAGCATAATAAATGTCAATAATCGAGTAAATAATTTCTTCGTTTTAAATTTTCATTAAAATATTATTAATAAGTATTCCAACAAAGAAATTACAAAAATCACATTACTTTTCTTACATTAGGATACATGGAAATAATATTTGTACAAAGAATCATACCGTTGACAGCTGCAAAGAAAATATCTCCTTTACACTAGGAACATGACGTCAAGAAAGCAACCTGTCATTTACATACTGTATGCATATGTATATATACATAAATACTTATATATTGCAATTATAATAGAGAAAATACAGCAATTATATATGTAAGTATAGATTTAGTTATGAATATAGAAGATTAAATAAATCATTATATTAACTCTAGTTTTTTGAACTGCTTTTTCATTTTAATTAATAGAATTTAATTAATAGAATTTAATTAATCCCGTTTTTTAGTTTTTAATTAATTTAAAGAGTTCTACTTACCGTGTAGAATATTATCATCTATAAATAGTAGTTTGAAAGTAAAATTGAATAATATATTTTTTTAATTTTATTTATTATTAAATTTATTAAAAAAATAATATGAGAATAAAAATATGATAAATGTAAAATATTGTTTTCAATGCATAGACCAACATGTCAATTCACTCGATAAATTAAATATATTGAATAATTTAAATAAATTAAACGAAAATACCTGAAATTCTTTTGTTTTAACTTTTTTAATTTCGAATGATTATTAAAAAAACGATAAATAAAATAAATCTTTAATTTCCAAATTTTGCGAAATTAAAACGATACTATCATTCTGATATGTATTCTATTATAGAACTAATTCTTTTATAACAAGAAAAAATGTTGCAAGAGTGTGCAATTAAATGAAAATGAGTCATTAATAGATAAGAATAACGCAAAGAAAAGAAAAATCTATCTGTTTTTAATCCATTGTACAAACACACTTTTCTTTGTTATCATTTTTGTTTTCACATTTACAGTATAAACATATATATATATATATTTAATTTAAGCGTAATATGGAATAAAAAAAGACATAAAAAAATACTTAATCGTATTTTTATTTTAATTTATCCGATTATTATAATTTGATTTGATAATCGAGCATTATTTTTATAATAAAATAATAAATCTCGGACAATATTCGAACATCTTGTTATTTACAATAACAAGATAAGCGAACAGAAAATAAAATCCATTGTTTCATTGTTATCTTTTAAAAATTTAAGAATATAAAAAGAAGCAATTCTTTCGTCAAATTTAGGGATTTTTATTTGAAAGCATTTATCAATACATCATCCCGGGATGAGCTGCTCGCTGAAAAAATACATTGGGATTTGCTGATAGAGTAGTGTACAAATTTCCCGCGTCTTCTGGTCTTAAGTACATGCCTGGTGGTGGTAAGACGAACGTTTCCATCGGACTGTGAACATCTGTAAAATATTTATTTTTCGATTAATCTATTCTTTAAAATTACTAATAATTGAATATGTATATGTATATATATATATATATATTTAGAAATTTTTAAAATATGCTCGAGAAACTTGATTCTCAATTCGTTATCTGTATTATATATCTACCGAAACTTGTTATTGGTTTCCGGTATATGATAAAAATGTTGCGTATCCGCTTATTCTTCCGGTCGTGTTAAGCAACGAAGCGTAATTTTTATAACAAATTTATTTGAAATACTTTTAAAAATATTTCTATTTCATATATGAGTCAATAATATAATTTTATTTTTGTTTTCATGTATTATGTGCTTAATGTACTTAAAGTTTACAAGTGTTGACACAGAATCTCCATTTAAGAGGTACAATTGTCTGCAAACATAACCACATTTCGAAATGGGTCATATCTGTCACATTGCTTGCAAACTTATCATTATTTGAAAGTTTCTCGTCACGAGATCGAAATAATTTCATTATTTTTGAAATTGAATCGTCATGAAAAGAATGAAATTGTTCAATATCTCTTATCGGAAATTAACCTAACGTAAGAATAAACGAGAAAATAGGAAAATAAAACAGAAATTCGTCATCGATTTATATGATTGTTCACGAGAACGAAGAGAAATATTCTGTTTGATTAACATTCTTACAAAAAATATATACGTACAATCATCAATAAACAAAGGAATGTTTCTCAATTGAAAAAAAAAGATAAAAATCTTAATTGAATTTTTGTCATTTTTTAAAAATTTGATTTATAAGTTTAATCGAAAAATCATAAAACTGGATATGGCTGGATATTATGATAACTACAAACATTATAAACTACGATGTCATAAATAAGCGGATAGTTTATGCTTTACAGGCTAGTGACCTCTGCCTCGCAATATGTAGTGATCCACGCCCTACTCGTAATAATGGACATTACGGTAAAGAGATGTATCACGTAATCTAACGTACACACTTGAAACTTGTTTCCCTCTTAATTTTTCTAAAGAGAAGACTACTTTCCAAGAATAAGTATATCGAAGAATTAAAATTTTCTTTTCTCTAAAAATGATCATGTTTAGATGTAACGATTTACGAAAAAATTTTTGGCCATAACTTTTACTCGTCGAGGGAGGAGAATTTGTCTTTTTTCGTTCGTTCAAAAAAGTTTGATCAGTCACCAACAACGGGTCACCGATTAACTAGCGTCGTCTGATCTAACGGGATTTGTTTCCCCTTCCAGTTTAATTCTTGGAGAAGCGCTTGACCTCCGCCTCGAAACTTTCTCCCTCTCCACCTTTCCAGTAAGAGATTTTTCCTCCCTTTCGTTCGTTCCTCGAGGTGAAGGTCGCTAGAGGCGACGTCGTAACGGAAGAAAAGTTTGGAAGGTATTTCCAGTATTACTGCAATATCTACTTTGATATTTTGATTTTCCCCTTTCGATCACGATGATAATCATTTCATTTGACACATATTTGCGTACGCGTTTCAATGAAAAATATACAAGTATTTTCAATTTTTGAAATTCGATTAATTAAATATATTTTTTTTTCTTTTTTTTTTAGGAAAATCTTTCTAATCATTTCCTTTCATCTGAAAATCTATTTTTACAGATGAATCACTTTTGTTCTGTTATTTTTAATCGTCTCAAAGTGGATATTTTCCAACTAATTGATTCTCAAGGACTTACCGTCCGAGTATATGGAGCTTCCAATGAAAAATATACAAGTATTTTCAATTTTTGAAATTCGATTAATTAAATATATTTTTTTTCTTTTTTTTTAGAAAAATCTTTCTAATCATTTCCTTTTATCTGAAAATCTATTTTTACAGATGAATCACTTTTGTTCTGTTATTTTTAAATCCGTCTCAAAGCGGATATTTTCCAATTAATTGATTCTCAGGGACTTACCATCCGAGTATATGGAGCTTTCAATGAAAAATATACAAGTATTTTCAATTTTTGAAATTCGATTAAAGATATTTTTTTTCTTTTTTTAGAAAGATCTAATCATTTCCTTTCATCTGAAAATCTATTTTTACAGATGGATCACTTTTGTTCTGTCATTTTTAATCGTCTCAAAGCGGATATTTTCCAATTAATTGATTCTCAGGGACTTACCATCCGAGTATATGGGGCTTCCACCGTGCCTGCAAGCAGTACAACCAGGTATAGCGGATGAAACTAATGCCACGCGATCTGAAAATCAAAATGCAATCAAAATAATGCACCAATTTATATCTTAAAATTTTATCATTTTCCATTAGATTCAAGAAATTGTATATATAAATTGTTATATATTGATATATATAAATTGTTATCATATACATTGTACATTAAATATATATTTAATATTTGTTGGCAAAATAAAAATTTTCAATTAGACGAAGAATTTTTTACTAATCTAGATTTCAATTAATCATTTCCTCTCTTCCCTGTTGTTCTATCTATCCTTCACGAATTTACATTATAAGACACGAAAGTCGTCGTGTGTTGACATCGTGTGAAACGATCGAAATGGAACGAAATGGAATGAAACTGGGAGAGGGGTGCGTGCGTGCGTGAAAATACACGGTGAAATTTGCTCTTGCTTTTCAATAAAAAAAAAGAAAAAAGAAAAAAACACGGTGAAATCGCGTTTACTGGAAAGTATCATTCTAAAAAAATATCACCTCAAAAAAAATCAATTAAACTCGATAATTCAAATTTCGTTTCTTTTTAAAAAAAAAAAATCCACCATTAGAATTGATTAAATAACGAGCTGCTCGTGGTAACGATTTAATTTGTGAAAACTCGCGTACATTGCTACTTAATGAAAAGATGAATTATTATGAATTATTATTTGTATTATTGGCTGTACGAACGAACGTACCACCGCTGTGATAGTGCATCTTCCTCTTTAAAGAAGCTTCTGCCGGTTTGAAGTGGAAGAAGGAGGGCGAGTAACCGCTGCCGGGGAGCGAGCTCATGGCGTCGTCCCGATCACGAATCACCGTCGCGGAAGCCTCCCGGCCGAGGGCAGCCAACTGTCGACCCTTGGGCAGGAACATGGTCAGGAACACGAGGAGGGAAGTGGCCAGTAAGCCGTAGGCGAGCCAAGCCTCCCTGTCGCTCTCCGTCGAGGCCGCCACAGAGCCGATCGCGCTCGATATCCAAATCGGAAGCGATAAACCGACGGCCAGCCCGATAAACGCCGCTTCCCGGTTGTTGTCCCGAACGCCGCGAGCTCGAACCGCCAAACAAGCAACCGCCACCAGCAACGCGCCTGGATACCTGAACAGAGGGAGGGGGGGAAAAAAAAAAATCGAAAACAAATTTTCTTTCCAAACTTCTTTTTTGGAAGAAATTTTCTTCCGTGATAAGAGGAAACAAGATTTAATTTTATTTTATTTGTTTCGAGAAGAAAAAGAGAAGAAAGGAAGATGGAAGATAGATGGTCGGAAGGAAAGTTTACATTTCGAATGTTTACCCGAGGGAGGCGACTATCTGCCCGAGAGGGGTTTTGCAACAGGACACGGTGAAGTTTTGTCCAGTATTTTGTACTTGGATAACCATGGGCGGCTCGCCGTAAAACCATTGCCCAATGATAGCCACCTGCACGAGTACTGCAAATCCCAATACCAGTGCCTGTAACAAGCAGAGAGAGACAGATCACCGTTGCATTAACTATACACATATATATATATATATATAATATATATTATATATTAATTATATATATATATATATATATATAAAAGCTTCTTTTCATATCTTGAAGTTGGTAGTTTTTGATTTTTGATCGACAGAATGCCGGTAATTATTACGACGGTATTCTCAATTAACATTCTTAACGCTCGCGGTTGTCGCGCTATAATTCACGAACAAGCGGTTCCATCCGAGCGAGGGTTTCCATTAAAAGAACGTGATTATAATAAAGGAGGAATTATATCGGACGAGTGGAAGAAGAGAGGCTGATTTTTATTTTATTTTTTCTAACGAGTTATTTCATAAACTGGTTTCCAGCTCTTATCATCGCTTCCTTTAAACGGCGTGTAATCATATGTACAGGCAATAAAAGAAAACCCCGTTGGATGCCCGTTACGCGGGGAAGAAAATGTCGGCTATATATATATATATATATATATATTAATAACGTTGCAGAGGGAACGGGCAGGGCATGGTTAACGAGCACACAACAGTTGCACTTACTGCTATTGGTAAGCGGGCGTGGAAGCGAGCTATTGCTTTTCATTCAGATCCCGTCCCGCGCGTACAAATGGTCGATCGAGATCGACATCCGGATCCCCGGACACGCGGCGGAATAAGAAAAATCCCTTCGCGCATCGTTCCTTGTTCGACGAGTTGTTCCACGAGTTTTCTGCCTGCCACGAGTTTTCTAAAGCTCTGTTCACAACACGCCTACAATTTCAACCTCTCGATTCTGTATTTTCAATCTCTTTTAAACTTGTGTACGAGGGATTTCGATATTTGAAGCGAATGAAGAAGAAACGGTTGTCGAATCGTGGAAATTGCTTTTTGCAATTTCGATAATCGCCGTTATATCGAATTAGAGTAGAGAAGGAAAGAAAGAAAAAGTTTTCATATTTTGTTCATATTTTTTCCTTTTTTCTTTTCCTCTTGTTCGAATGTATATCCAATTTTTGTATGAAAAAGAAGAAGAATATTGTTATTTCACGAAGCGTAATTGAATTCGTGGTGAATTGTAATTATTTTAAATCTAAATTAATTATTTATCAAAATTATTTAAATTAGATTTAAATTATTATTTTAAATAATAAATATAAATTATTATTATTATTAAATATTATTTTAAATAAAAAATAATTTTAGATTTAATTATTATTTTAAATCTAAATTAATTATAAAAAGAGAAGAAAATTTTTATCAAAAAAAATATTAAATTTAAATGTTACCATTTTAAGATAAATTTCAAATTTTATTCCACGCACCGTTTAAATTAATAATATAGTAACGTGTCAACGTTATTATAATTATATTTATAATATATATAAATATAAATATTAATTATATATATAAATATATATAATTATATTTATATTAAATTATAATTATATTTCTCTTTAACGATACGTTTAACTTACTTGATAAGGTGCCGGTAGATAAACCCCGCTATTTAACGAGAGCAGGAACACGCATTTAACCAACAAGGCCGCAAAGACGAGAGCGGCAGGCAAGCCGACTAATCGAAATGCGGCGCAGGAGAGAGGATTTTGGCTGAGGGAGGCCGCCGCTGAGAGTCCTGCCAGTAGGAAAAGGCCTAAAAGTAGAGCTTGTCCCAAAAATAAATGTCGTCTATTTGGCGCGGTCACTCTTGCCTGAAAAATATCATTATTATTATTACTATTAATTATTATTAATTAATTATTATAATTATTATTATTATTATATAATTAATTATTATTAATTAAATTTGTCAATTTCTTTTTCTCTTTGCAAACACTTATTCATTTAATGCGATTAAATCATTTTTTTTTTTTGAATAATACACGAACCGCAACGAGTGTTTACTCTGAAAAAGGATATATTGTGGATATGCATCGCTCGTAAAAAGAAATTCAGGGAAAATAACGTGCGCACGCGTTCACGTTTCACGCGAGACGAATGCTCTGATTTTTCTTTTTTTTTTTTTTTTTTTTTTTTTCCTTCAAGATAAATCTCGATATGGCAATAAGAAAGTAATTTGCACGTACGTAAGATTTTCTTTTCAAACGCTGTGTTCTCGTTCTCGTTTCCCTTAATTTCGTTGTGTTTTATTCTGTTAATGTTAATGTAACAAGACACGGCGAAGAGATACGAGATAAAGATTGTTCGAACGAATTGATTACGTTCCATATACAGATTGATTGTAATAATAAACGAGATTTAATTTCGCTAATTGGAATAAGTAATAAAAATAAATAAGCGTGGAAAGAACGAAAAGAATAGATTTATATCTATTAACTCGTACAAGCAAATCGATTGCTTGTTCAACATTGCGTATATATATATATTTATGTTAATTACGCGTGCGAGAAGATTCATTTTGTTATTTCTCTTTTCGATTAATTTTCTTACAGGTCTGATTAATCAGATTATGAATCATAGAAATTTGATTTTTCGCGTTTAATATTATAAATTAACATCGTAAATTAATAATTTATAATTTTTCTAACAACATTTAACATTTCACATTTTTTTCAATAATAACCCATTTACAACGTAATTATAGAGAAAAAATTAAAAAAATTAAAAATACGATTCGCAAAACATTACATATATATTTAAAAAAAAATAGATTAAAACTTATTATTACACAGTTGTATATATATATATGTATATATATGTATATATATATATACACATAAGTATCAAATTTGTTATCGAAAGCTTTCCTGCCGGCTCACCGGAGTGTTCAATGGAGTGTATCGGTACGAGCAGACGACACGAACAGCAGAAGAAATAGGTAGTCGACATGCAAACTAGGCCTAGGTCTCGCTCGAAATTGCGAGCGTGCCGGGGTTATTGGAGCTTGTCGAAGCGCGAACGAAAACAATTACCATAAAATCCTTGCATATCGTTTCGTCTACGCGTCATCAATGTTTTACGCGAGAAAAAGACACCGAGATTCCTTTCCTTCTTTCCTTCTCTCCGAGCTCTATTAATCCGCTCCTCCCTCTCCCCTCTCCCCTTCCCCTATTATACAGATCATAGATGCGATCGCGCGACCGCGAAAACACGTTACGTATCATTGAACGCGAGAACGGTTCAATTGGCAACAACAACAACAACAGCAGCAACAACCTTCTTCCCCCACCCCTCCCACTCTTTCCCAATACCCGTCGAACGAGACGTCTCCGCGCTCCATTTCCGGTCGCGAAACAATCGAGTTATAAATTCTTATAACTTGACATAACGACAACGACGCCCTCTTCCCCATTTCAAACGGATAATTAAATATTCATTCAATTTCCTTAGACTTCGTATGCACACCGTAACACGAAATACATCCACGAAATATCACGTTGAAATAATACGACAATAAATTAAAGAAACGTCGCGTATTATATATATATATATATACGCGACGTATATATATATAAGAATAATTAAATATTAAATTTCTTAAGCTTCGTATGCACACCGTACGAATTGACACCGTAATACGAAATATATCGACGAAATATCACGTTGAAATAATACGACAATAAATCAAAGAAACGTTACGTATTATATACATATATATAAAAATAATTAAATATATATATATATATATATATATATATATTATAAGAATAATTAAATATTAAATTTCTTAGACTTCGTATGCACACCGTACGTAATACGAAATATATCGACGAAATATATCGACGAAATATCACGTTGAAGTAATACGATAATAAATCAAAGAAACGTTGCGTATTATATATATATAAGCATAATTAAATTTTTTAAATAATAAATTAAATATTTATCAATTTCCTTAGACTTCATATGCACACTGTAATTCGAAATATATCGACGAAATATCACGTTGAAATAATACGATAATAAATCAAAGAAATGTTGCGTATTATATATATATATATATATTTAAGATATTTATATATATATAATATAATAAATATATATATATAAATAATTAAATATTCATCAAGTTGTTTAGACTTCGTATGCACACCGTACGAATTGACACCGTAATACGAAATATATCGATGAAATATCACGTTGAAGTAATACGATAATAAATCAAAGAAACGTTGTGTATTATATATATATAAGCATAATTAAATATTTATCAATTTCCTTAGACTTCGTATGCACACTGTAATACGAAATATTACGTTGAAATAATACGATAATAAATTAAAGAAACGTTGCGTACTATATATATATATATATATATATATAATATGTATATAATAAATATGTATATATATAAATAATTGAATATTCATCAAGTTGCTTAGACTTCGTATGCACACCGTACGAATTGATATCGTAATATGAAATATCACGTTGAAGTAATACGATAATAAATCAAAGAAACGTGGCGTATTAAAGGTATATATATAATATATATATATATATATTATATGTATACGTATAGAAATCTGTCGGCGGATGCAAAACTGCTTGCACCTATCCCCCACCCTTCCCCTTCTCCCGGCCCTTCCCCACCCACTAGCCAAGCGGGGAGATCGCAATCGAGCGAGATCGGTTTGGACGTAAGATGTAAGTCGTAAAGGTAAACGAACCGACCTTGAGCAGTACGAAAACCTCGAAGCCAGCCATGAGGAGCATGGTGGCAGCGCTGAGGGCAGCAAGAGGAAGAGCCCAGGGTCGTTGCCTGAGCAAGGACCTCGGGTAAGCGCGTGTATCGGTCTCGATCTCGGTCTGGCTCTTCTTTCCAGGGGGCATTTTGTACACCGAAACGGTCCTGTTCGGGGCCGGGACGCTGATGACACTCGCCACGCTCGCCAGCCCGTTCCTGTCCATCGCTACGTCCGCCAGGCCGGGCACGAGGAAGAATTCCGTGGACAGCTCGTAGTCGTTGGACGATTGGGCCCGCGCCGCCGTAGTTCCGGTTGGACCGAGCCAACTCGCCGTGGCCCACGACACGATGATCGGGCTCAGTCTCATCGCGTCATCCGTGCGCTTCCGTGTCCTTCTCTGTCCTATGCGCGTTATTCACGCTATTTCTTCTCTTTTTCTTTCTCTCTCTCTTTCTCGCTCGCTCTCGCTCTCTCTTTCTCTCTCTCTCTTTCTACAACGTTTCTGTAACGTCACCGGGACATGCACCGTTTCCTGCGTAAGCGCATCCTTACATCCGCCCGCCTCCCTTTCCTACAGGAGGAACAGGACACCTGTAATCAATATCGATTCGTCTCTCGATAAATAACGCCGATTCGTTTACATCTAGTTGGTAGCGAGAAGAAATTGGAATTAATTTGGGAGGGGATGTCGAAAATTGTATATATATGTATATATATATATATATATACAAATAAAAATGTATATATAAAATGTACATATAAAATGTATATATATAAGTAAAAGAATATTCTTTTTCTTTTCTTTTTAATCGATAAAAAGTCAACTACTGTAAATTGAATGTTTTTAATATTCCTTTTATGCTTGTTTTTTTTTTTTTCTATAGTAAGATTAGAATGGAGCTCGAATGAACGAAAGCTCTTGTTTAAAAAAGAAATCGATGAATTTTAAAAGTATGGACAAAAGCATCGGCCTATTCTGCGTGAGAGAGGCAAGCATGACCAGGCCGCGGGCATTCACGGAGTTTAACACCATTAATTATTACGAACAGGGTCAGGCAGTAAGTAGAGTGAAGCACGGGCCGGGTAAAACCAGAATAAAAGCCAAATAACATAACAAGTGTGTTACGGCACAATAGTAGCACGTAATATATCATTGCGAAATAAATAATCAATTGTACGAGTATTGGTAATTTAAAACGATGATGATAAGTGAACCTTTTAAGTGTCGATCATTGTCTGCCTTCGAGATATCTTGGAGATATCGGTTGCCACACATTTCTTTCTTCTTTCGTCAATCTTCCTCGAAGATGATAATGAATATATTCGAAAAACACGATCTTTTTTTTTTTTCTTTCTTTCTTTCCTATCCTCGAGAGAGATTTTTCGTTGATTCGATGCGACGTGAAGGTGTCAACGAACAACACTGTTCTGCGAGTCGATCTGTTCGAAGGATATATCCTCGATATGTTGGATGACGAGAAAAAGATTTTCAGTGAGAGAGCATGGATTGATGGTTCTCTGACGGGGCAAGTGAGCGGAGTGGCCACGAAGCGCGCGTTGTGAGAGCCAAACTCCGACTAAGCCGACAAGCATTCTCGAGGGAGAAACTGGAAGCAGACTGGAGTTCCGTTCTGGAGGTGAAGCCTATCCGTTACGGAGGAGCCAGGGAGATGGTGATGACGATGCCGAGGTGGTAGTGGCATACAACAGGAGCGGATCCACGCAAATCTTCCCAATCAAATCTTTCCTTTCCCCAATCTTCTCAAATCTACCATCGATCGATCGATCGACAAGATTTTCACGTAGAGGGAAGATATCATTTATTAAGAAATTATTTCCTTTTCCATCTTCCATGCATCATCGATCCATCGATCGAGAGGATATTATTTAGAAATTATTTTAATTTTCAAAAGGAAAGAAAAAAATTTATATCGTTCAAATTTTCTTTTTCCATCCACCATCGATCGATCGATCGATCGATCGAGAAGATATTATTTAGAAATTCTCCATTTTAATTTTCAAAAGGAAAAAAAAAATAATAATATCGTTCAAATTTTCTTTTTCCATGCACGATTAATCGAGATCGAGATCGAGATCGAGAAGAGGGAAGATATTATTTAGAAATTTTCTATTGAATTTTGAAGAAGAAGAAAAAAAAATTGATATCGAACGAGTTTTTCCTAAGTCGTATATATTTTAAACGTGACAGTTATTATTATTATTATTGAGCAATTGGTTTGGATTAATTTTAATAAAACGTGTAAACGATCGAATTACCTCGATCGTCGTTATGCAAAAAACTAGACGCGCAAAAAAGACTTTGCTCAACAAGTATGAATTAATTTCTTTTTTTTAACCTTTAATAAATGCAAAAACAATCATATTTCAAGTAATTAATTACCTGTGTAATCCGTGTAATTTTAAAAAGGAAACATTTTCTTCTTTTTTTTTCTTCGCGTATAACTTGTTACGGCAAGCAAGAAAAAAAAAAGGGAGAGGGGGAAGGGGGAGGGAAGTGACTCGCCGCCCCTTATGAATTTTAATTAGCTAGCTATTATCGTGCCACAATTCCACTTTATCGTTTCGAAGTTGGCTTCGATCTGATCCGCCCCTGTCAAGATGAGAGAGGGATCAGTGCGGAATAAAAGAGAAATAGAGAGAAGGATCGGAATGAAAGAAAGAAAAAGAAGAGGGGAGCTGGTCCACCGACGTCCGAAGGACCGGACCCGGCCACGCCATTTACATATCGTACGTATGTAATAACCTCGAAAAATGTTTTCAACAATGGGCCCGAGAATACTCGCAGCCACCAAGCCCCAATAAAAACAGGGGAAACCGGAGAAAAATCGGAGACGAGGCTGAGAAAAAGATCGAGGAAACGTTTAACGAGTTTCTGTAGACATTCGACCGAGTGAAAAATGAGAGATATTCTCACGGAAAATTCCACTACTAGTGTCTTTTTCATTTAGAGAAACCTGTTGTAGAGAAGAATCGCAACACAGTTATTCCCTTTTGCTTCGAGACGAGAGAGAAAGAGAGAGAGAGAGAGAGAGAGAGATTCAAATAGATCGTCCTCGAACCGTCGTTGTATATCTACTTCGACTCAAAAGGAAAAGAGATTTAATTTAAGACACGAGCGGTGGAAATTATTTACCTTGGCCTAGAAATCGGAAAATAATTCGTGTGAAAGTGATAACGTGAGAAAGAACGTTTCTCCTTTCTGGATCTAATTATAAGCGGCGAATCTCGATATGTATATATATATATACTCGGTACTAGATAACATGTAGGCGGGCAGGCGTCACAGATCAATGGTCGTTTGCGAACGTGCGACACGTTCGGTAGCCCATACGCACGATCGATCCCTTGCAACCCAAGGTTCGATGAACTCTACCTCGAAAACCGGACAAACCGTTTGCGCGTTTGGTTCGGGTGGTTCAGCATCCTCCGATAAGCGAGTTCGAAAACGCGTCTTACGTCTTCTTCCGAAAACCATCGTGTTTTCAACCATGTTCATCTTGTGTGCGCATGAGCAAGCGTAGGAAAAAGCTTGCTCCACATGTAACGAAGAATTTACGAAGATCGAGACAAAAGAGAGAGAGAGAGAGGAAAAAAAATGTTTTTCGATCGAAATTTCCTTGCTCAATATTGATTACAATTGTTGTTGTACATATGAATTTATTGTTAGAAATAATCCTTAAGGATCGCGGTTCGAGAGAGAATGCTTTTATTCGTAGAAACGTCTTAAGCGTCGAAAGCGAAGGGGGGAAGAAAAAAAATAGGCAGAACAATGGGAGGTTGTCAAAGAGCGCGAACAACGAAAATCCTTGCTCCAAGCTGTACCGTGTGCATATATATATATATACACAAATGCGTGCGATGTACAATGTTTCGCAATAGCCACACCCGGTCACTTTCTCCGCCAAAGCCAAAGTCATTCTTGTACCGTAACTTACTATGCTTAATGACGCAAGCAGCCCACGCACGATCTAATGCGAGGCACACGTTGATCCGCTTTCCTCTTGTACGTGTACGTTAGCCAACCGTGGAATTTAATTTACAAGCATCGATTGGGGGAAGGGGAAGGAGAGGGGGGAAAAAAAGGATAATTAAGACGCGACTGCTTTAATGGCAAAAAGCGGAAGATCGAGTCGAGTGATGACGGCCCTGACCGAATTTCTTCGCACTTGGACGTCGTTCCCCGAAGATTGTGTAGCTTTTTTATAACCTCGTTGTACGTTTTCATTTTTAAATTACATATATATATATATTTATTATAATTCATTAATTTTTCCCTCGATAATTATTTACAATAACATCTATCTCGTTTTTATTTTAAAAGAGTGGAAAAAAGTGCGAACCTAACCTCTTCGAGATTCTTTCTTTCGAGATTCTTATATTACATCTTTCGTAATAACCTATAAGCAGAATTTGTTTTAAGGAAAGAGTGATATGGTATTGAGATAAAAAAAAAAGAAGTGGACAATTCTTAAATAAATTGTGAGTATAATGCAATGTGAAATGGTTGAAAAGCCTGTCCGTACCAAAAAGGATTACCTCTATGCGAAAGAAGCTGTGGAGCGTGGTGAACGCGAAATTCCTTCCTCCACCCGAGGAACCCTAAATGATGCGGAGCACCGAACTCTCGGTATTGCAGTAAGAGAGGAGAGAAGTCGCTTGCAACCGGTTTCAACAAACTAAAGCTAAATAAAGTCATGTAGCGGCGCGAACGTAGGAAATCGTTCTGCCGATAATTGCGCCCACGAAAAACATTTCGAGCTTGGCCGCGGAACGATCATTATTCGCCCCGTAATATTTAAAAACAGCAATCATCATCATCATCATCATCATTATCGAGTTCCCATCTGTATAATCACCGCGGTGTATAACCTGTACAAATTAATAATAAGCGTTTCGTTCGATGTTTCGTTTAATAAGAAATAAGAATCGATTCGTGCAAGAGTAAATTAAATTAAATTAATGGATTAATTTAATCTTTTTGTTTTTTTTTTTTTTTGGAAAGATCGATTCGTCGTCTCAACGAATAAAATAAATTTACCTTCGACATTGACAATGATCGAAAAGGTTGTCGTTCATCCGAGATTTGATTACAGAGCGGAACTGTCGTAATTCGCATTCCGGAATTAATTTTCAAGGAACAAGTTCTCGGTATAATTAATAACAATTCCCTCAAGCGATACCTATAATCGATCAAAGAGAGGCAAACATTCTTTCGCAACTCACCCCTTGTCTATTCTTTATGCCTCGTAGGGTTTGATACGTTGATAAGTCGACCCTTCCACGGCGATTCATTTGAATATAAATCCGGCTGTCTACACACGTTGAAAATCTCAGGAACGAATACGAAGGATGAGAAGGATGGGGAACCAAGAGGACCAAGAAACAAGTCGGACGAAGAGAGGTAGAAGAAGGAGACGAAACGAAGAATTCTTTTTTCGTTGCACATTGTAACCGCAAACCGCGGTGGTCGACCATGCAGGATATTTTTTATTCACCTTATTTTGGGTTCCTCCGCGCGTTTGACTTTCTTCTTTTATATCGTTTTAATATTCGCGCACGAATAGAGTTTACAAGCATACTTGTACGTATACAGTTTCTTCGTAACTTTATTTCAGAATATCGTGGTAAATGCGAAATATGAATACTTGTAATTGCATCTGCAAAAAGAATTAATAAATTTTAGAATATAAATGAAAATATATTTAATAAAGGATTATAATTAAGAAAATTAAATTTAAATAATTTTTAAGAAATAATTTAAATATACGATGTAAAAGAGAATAATAAATATCGAACTCGAGGATATAATATTGTTTCATGAGTTCGATGACCCGAAACCATAGAAGATTTTTAAAAATGATAGTATTTAAAATTTTTTTCACTTCTATTTACCGTTAGTCATTTACATATAATCATTATATTCTGGTTTCAATTTTAATGCTTGCAAGTAATTATTTTTCGAATGAATAAATTAAAGTAACAAAGGGATATGATATTCAATGAAAAAAATAAAAAATATAAAAAAATATAAAAAAAAAAGATTTGTAGAAGAATGTACTCAATATCAGTCAAATGGATAAGAAGATTCTGTCACAATAAATTTATGATGGAAATTATTTCAAATTAATGCAAATACAAAATAACAAGTAAAATTTTCATGAATAAATCTATTGAAGAATGACAGAAATGTAAATGAACTAAACGAACTAGCGAATAAAAGCAATAGATTCGCATAAATCATGATTCGATGAATAATCTCTCATATTCTCGAGTTAAAAAAACACCTGTGTATACTTGTGAAGGGATAAAGAAGAATCCAAAAGGGCGACTATTATTTTATTCTGCGCGCGAGTGCATTGTTAAAAGAAACTTTTATTACCTCTGCCAAGGACGAAAGCTCACCACGTAATCTCGAGGAAAGTCTATATGGAGTCGTGAAACATTTACTTCTTTACATACGTATTATACGAAGGGTACGTGCATATAAGACCGCAATGCACGTGTCTACGTGCGCTTACGATGGGGTAACGATATTTATTATATGTCGGCTATGAATTATGGGCCGTTAACTTTGCCTTCGTGACGCGGCCCTTTGCTTCGCGACCAACCAGCTTACGAATCGCCACTCTGCCTATAGAAAAATATACATATTATGCGCATGCTTGGTAGGTTGATTTCGAACGAAAAATTTATCTTTAATAAATTGCTCGTTTTCGCGAATTAATCGAAGAAAAAGTTAAAATGTTAAAAGAATTCGATCAAATCAAAGTGGAAAAAAAAATCTATTCAGAAATATTATATATTGTATATCTAACTATAATACAATAACATCATGAAACATTATAAAAAAAAATATCTCGAAATCGTTATATTCTTATAGAATATTTTCCAGTAATGAATAAAATTAGCACCGGTTCGGTGACATTCCAAAAGAATTTATTATATATTTATAATATAATTAATTGACGGTAAAAAATGATTATTGAAGAAGAAATTAGTTTCTTCAATAATGAAAGAAATTTAATGAACATAAGAATATAAAGAAAAATTTGAACGAATAGTACAATAATTAAAAAGATATCTGTTTTTTTATGATGCTTCAAAATTATTATTAATTTGTAACTATGAACTATAAATTAAAAATGAAGAAATTTTATTGTATTTGTTTTAACATGTTATATATATATATATATATATAATATGTTAAATAATATATAATATAGGTTATATAATATAGGTATATAGGTATACATATATATATACATATATATATGTTTTTAATTTTGTACACTATTATTTGATGTTACGTATTACATCATTAAAAAGTTATATAGAAAAATATTATTATTCTGCAAAATACAAAATGATATTTTTGTATATAAATAAAATAAAATAACATGATTCGGAAGTTTCCATATTTTAATACTTTTAAATTTAAGATTCTAACAATTTATTACTTATATATGTATGATTAATTTCATTATTGAAATGTAAATATTTCTATATATTTGATAATAAATCATAAAAGTATTATCACGTAAATATCTAATATTATTTACGTATTGATCATAAAAATTAATTTATTCTATATTTAGAAAGAAAATTATATTCTATCTAAATTAAAATAAAAGTAATTTTTTTTATTAACTAAAGAGTATTTTGAATTTTTATGAATTATAAAAGAAAAATTCCAAACTTTATAGTTATTAATCAATGAAATTCTTCTAATGAAAAAATTGTAGTCTACAAATTGAGACATAGTTAATAAAACCAAATTTGTGGTTACAAAAGTAAATGCGTGTGAATACAAAAGTAACTTAAATATATTTTATTTTAATAATAAAACTGGCTGCAAAGAGTGACCCAAACTTAGTTTCATTAATTTCATACAGTTAAAATAAATCCCCATTATAAGCATATCTTAAGATTTTAATACAAATTATTAAAGTAAACTTTATAATTAGTAGTATTAAATGTACCATACAATCATACAAAGAAATATTATTTATGAAATATTTAAATATATTTTTCATATTTTTTGATAACAATATATAAATATACATATATATTGTTATCAAATATATATTTTCTATCATTTATTTTAATATAGTTAGAGTCACGATTCGCGCACCTACAATGATCAAGATGATTATTCTGTAATAATAATAGTAATAATTACAATAATAATAGCAATAATTATTATCATTGGAATTTTTACATAAAAATATAAATTACAGTTTACTGTATAAGAGAAATCTGTGAAATCTCAAGTCTTGGTTCTGCTAAAAATGAATTTGCAGACAGTGTAACAATTGATCGAAATAATTTTATAATCTTGTTTCTGGAGATTCTATTTATCAACTGTACAATTTTGGAACCTGAGAAAATCAATTATTGAAATTTAATCATTTATGTTGATATATCTAGTAGTTGTATGTTATAATGTAAAAGATGTAAAAGTATCAAATAATATCAATTTTCAACTAATTTGGGCAAACCTCAGGCACCTATATATATCAACATAATTATACATTCTTATAAAATGTAGAAGAAAAGTTTTTTGTAAGTAAGGTGTACACAATTAAATGAATGTTGATTAATAATAATTTAAATAAAATACATTTTTAACACATGAATTTCCATTTAACTGGAATCTTAAAATTGATATTCTATCATTTCTTTGTTGGTACACCATAATTTATAAATATGTCCTTTGTGTAAAATACACGTACAATTTTCTTGTTCAATTAACTATAACATTCTAAATGCAAAAAATGCAAAAATATTAGTATAAACAACAAATGAATTGAATTTATAGAATTTATATACTGTATTTTCTCTTTTATATGTACCGTATTTCCTTTTTATTTTGTATGATGTTAAAAAATCAAAATTTTTGTCACAAAATAAACCTTACTTCCAAAAGTTAAAAATTATACAGAAATATTTTACTTATGGATCTATATACGATTTTTAATTAGAATTGATAAGATTCAACCATTATTAGCATGGTAGTTATTAAAGATAAACAAAAACTATTTATTGCCAATTCCTCTTCTAAACCATAACAAAATCTCGACCTGTGTTAGATTTTTCACTTTCTGAACCTTCGCTACCTTCTTCACCTTCTAATGCAGAAGGAAGTTTATTTTCTTCGCTAGACGAAATTTCTTCGATGTGAGTATGTTCTTTAGATAATTCTTTGATACTAGGTTTCTCTTCTCTGTAAATGAAATGTAAATATGCGTACGATAAAATCTTCTAAATATCAGACATTTAAAACATTTAAATTAATCAATAAAAATCAATATAATATGATCAATTTTAACTTACAATTGTGTTGGTGTTTCTTCGGTATCAGAATCTTTCTCCTTCTTTTTCTTTTTTTTACTAACTTTTCTATCACTTTCAGATGTAGAGCCATAATATTCATACTACAAATATTTAAATATATATACATTTTATTCATTAAATAATAAATAATTTCAAATTAATACATACTTGATAAGGTGGCCAGAATGAAGCAAAGAATCCAACATCTGCAGTTAAATTAGGCAAAAGCCAAAGATGACATCTGCCAAGTGTTGGAACCCAAAGAAGGCAAAATACAATTAATCTAATAATTGCTAATGCCAAAATAAATACAAGGAATCCAGCAGCTGCAACACTTATATAATATACACCATGACGGATTGTTAATGGCCACAATGGGAAAAGGCAAACACCAATTGCACCCAAAACTACAAGTGTTCCAAAGAACCAGTAATATATGGGAATTGGCTCATATATCCAAACATAAGCATCATTGCAATCTACAAAATATTGTTCCATATGCATCTCCAAACGTACCTAAAACAATTAATAACTTTTTAAATAATTTATTTTATTATATATTCTTTTCAATATACCAGAAACTTATTTAATAACAACAAGATCACTAAAATGAATACTTTTTATTTTTTGATACAATGCTTGAAATTATTTTAATATTTATTAAAATATTTATACTGTAAAATACTTAATAACATAAATATAACAACAAAAAAAATAAAGTCACATGTGAATTTATAGCATTGAAAGAATTATGAATAATAAAACTTATTCATAACTTAATTCATATAAATACATATATACATATTAAATAAATAAATTATTATTTTATTTTAAAACTTACTTTTGGTTTTTTCTTTTTTTCTTCAGTTTTATCTTCATTATCTTTTTCACTTATTGTATCTTTGTTTTCTTTAGGTTCTTCTTTTTCTTTTTCAGATTTCTTTTCTTTTTTAATTTCTTTAACCTTTTTTTTTATTCCACGAATTTTATATAATTCTTCTTCGGAGATTACTACTTTTTTTGCTCGATGAAAGAATTTATGTCTCAACATCAAGTCAAGAAATTCTGTAACTTGTTTACGTTTTTCAAATTTGGTTTTACTCCATGGTGAATTCTCCAATAAAGCATCCACTGCACGTGAACCAGTAAAGTATTCAACATTGTGACTTCTATCAAATTTTGTTTTTTTTGAAGGTACATTGTTACGAATCCATTTGGCTACTGCATATTCTTCTTTAGATGGTTTTTCTTGAATAACTTCGTTATCTACATTTGATGTTTCCTGCTATAAAAGGTTAAATTTTTGATATTTTATAATTTCATTATATCAAGTTAATTAATATAGAATATTATATTATAAATTAAAATTATGTTTCATTATGAAAAATATTTAATGTAATCGTAATTATATATATTATATATTATATAAAAAATAGAATAATAAAGTTTAGATGATACAGATTGACACGAAATATAATTAAAACAAATGTTGAATTTCTATATAAAAAAAAAATGTTTAACATAGACGTTACGATTCTATAAACAACAAAATAAAATAATTTATCATATAATAACTTAATCATATAATTGAATTTATAATTGAATCATATAATGAATTTTATATATCGAAAATAAATAGTTTGCTACGTCATCCGTTATTCTATTACAACACTTATTCATATTGACACGTGCTTTGAATTAAAGAAAAAATATGAATTTAACATAAAATGGAATATTATATTTTTAATTACTGAATAAATATCACAATTTATATATAGTATTGAATAATATTATAATAATTATAGCCATATGTGATACTTACATCTTTGCGTTTCCTGCTTTTCCTACGTTCCGCCATGTTGTAAATTCCGTTTTGCGCTTGCGTGTTCAATCTTATTTACTCATTAGCAGAAGCAACAAACGTGGCATGTGCTTCTGCGTAATATACTGCACACAGTGTGTAGCCGGCTTCTTAAATATTACACACGTTATTTGAAGAATAAAGGTATAACTAAATTTTTAAATACGTTAATTTTTAAAAGTTCATTTCTTTCAATTGGAATAATTACGGTTATTGATATTTCATACATTTATACATACATTTTATAATGTTTTTTACAAAACTGTAATTTCTATAATTTTATTCTAATATATTGATTTATAACTAAGAGTTTTTTTTAATATAATTTTATTATAAATTCTTCTAAATATAATTTTTATGTAAAAAATTCTTTTTTAATGTAAATTTTAAATAGAATTGTTTTTTCAAATCTTATTTTTTTTGTGTATAATTATATATAATTAATGACAGAAAGAATTCATGTCATTTTAAGATAATTAATTTTATAAAATAAAATAGAAAAAAATATGAAGTAATATAAAGAAATAAAATAATACAAATTGTTACAGTATATTTTTGAAAATAAAGTTAATTATTTTTACTTCTGCATATAAAATTAACTATTATTAATTCGAAAATTGCATAATTACATAAGATGAAATTAATTATATATTGGGAAATGTAATAAACATTAAAATTAACGTATTAACCTATAAAAATGTTGTGAATAATTGTTAAACTCTTTCCTATTTTCATATAAAAAATATATTGATATAGGAAATTTAACCTTAAAAATGAGTGCACCAATAAGTACTGCAATGGATAGTTTGTCAGCTGCAATTAGATCTAATATAATTCCAAATCAAGAATATTTATTACAAGGATCAGTGTTAGATAGTGCAGTAGAAGTATTGCTTCATAGATTACGTGGTTTATGTGATAATGTAGATACCGGGCCAGAAACTTTTAATGATCATGAAATGTGTTTTAGTATCAGGTATGTTTAATAATTTTATAAGCATTAGAAATATTGTATTCATAAATTTAAATAATCAATAATAATAATCAAATGTTTCATGTTGTAGAGGATCTGAACAGCCATTGCTTTTACGTGTAAGAAGGGCTTTAGATTATCAAGATATGCCCTGGCAATTACGTTATATCGGTCAACCCGAATTGGGTGATAAATCAAGACCCACAATTGTCAGAAGCAGTTTAGATATAGCAACTAGTAACACAGTTGTTGACTTCTTAACAGAACTTGGATGTAGATTAGATTTTGAATATATTGCACGTGGTTATATGTTTCGTAAAGGTAGAATGAAAGTAACAGTTTCCAAAATATTTAAAATGGGTCAACAAGGAAAAATACCTGAAAGTATGGAAGCAATATCTCAAAGTTATTTAGTAGAATTGAGTGTTTTAGCACCTAGTGGTCAAGATGCAATAGCAGAAGATATGAGAATTTTTGCAGAACAATTAAAACCTTTAGTACAACTTGAAAAAATTGATTATAAAAGACTTGTACATTAATATAATAATCAATATTGTATTTTAAACTGTATTAATTATATTTATTTCGTTTGTATAAATTTTACCGATATTGTCGAAAATATTCTCCTTATATATTTAATTATATTATGTTTTGCGAAATCATCGTTTTAGGTGTATATTGTAAAACTGAAAATGTGATATATATTTTTTACGTTAAAGATTAAAATATATTGTAGTTTTTAAAAAAAACTGTATATAAAAATATATTCAATTAATTTTTTTCCATACCTTTTGGTTTAGGATCACGCGCCAAGCAATGACATAGACAAAAAAAGGAAATATCAGGAAAAGGATAGAGATAGGATTAAAAATATTGAAATCAGCGCCATCTTCAGAATGCCACAAATGAAACGTAAAGAAAGGATAAAAACGTAGTAAGAAATGATCTCTAATGCCATCTTTCGAGTATTAAAGCATCTTTGCATCAAAATAGAATAAAATAGACTGAGAATTGAAGATCAGCGTCATTTTTTAAAATAATTCTTCGGCGAAATATCTTTTATATTCAAGAGATAGCGTTAACGTTCAATTCTTATTCTATCTTTATTTCTTTCATTATTTTCTATTCTTTTTTTATGTTTCATTTGCGGCACTCTGAAGATGATGCTGATTTCTATATTTTTTCTATATCTGTCCTTTTCTCATTATTATCCACTCTTTTTTTTGTTAATTTTTCGAGTTCTGTATTTATATGACAAAATTTATGCTCAAGAAACGATTGCGATATCTTTATATTATCGATCGATTAAAAATTTTAACAGACTTTATTTTTAATCCAAAATTTTATTTTTAAATGTTATAAGTATATATTTTCTTATGTATTTATATCATATAAGTATAGACCAATAATACATATATTATATTCTTATATATACATATATTTATATTCTTATGTCATATTATTTTTATAAATAATTTATTATATGATATATAATATATATCACGTCTTAATCGAAAAAAGACAAAATAATAATTTTGCCTTTTATATAATCGTACGATAATATTTTCACTGAATTCTTAAATATAAAAAATATTACCTAAAGAAAGCATACATAAACGAACGCCTTGTTGACAGAGATGATAATCTTTTATAGGTAAAGCTAAAGTTTCATCTAGAAGTTTTAAAATTTTTAAATAAGATTTTAACGCTTCTCGATGGTTTCCTTGCTCGAGATTTTTGGATGCAGTTTTAAAAATTGTATCTGTCTCTTGTAACGCTTTTAATCCTTTGAAAATATTCATACATTTTCTACATTTGGAACATTCGATCATAAATTCGTTCGAATCTGTTTTTACGGGTAGAACGTTTCCACATTCTTTTCCAGTTTCGCATTTAAACCTAAATATCGGAGAACAAAAAATTAAGATTAAGAAAATTATTTTTCACTCATAAATTTTAAATAAAGAATTAAACCTTAAAATCGTTGGATCGATTTCTTCTAAGAGAGGCCAATGTTCTCTACATGCTTCACAGTTGCAGTCGAAAAAATATTGCAATCTCAATTTTCTCTTCCGTTCACTTTCGGGAGTAGTAGTAAAAATTTGACCGTAGTTCTCAGAAATTTCCTCTCCCGATGAAATGGAACGAATTGCTCGTACAACCATAGTCGTACCGATAAAGTATCTATATGACCAATGATATTTAATTAGATATTCTTTAAAATGAACAAGAATATAATAAATTCATATTTATCATTAAATCATAACCTCATAAATAATTGTTAGCAAAGATACTAATATTATTATTCACCTGATGACACCAGGATTACACGAATGATTAAATAACGATATTGTCGGATAAAGTCCTCCACCGATAAATTTGCTTTTAGCGTTTGCTAAATTATTATCGGCTCTTGGTATGACTAATTCCGATATCTGAAAATCAAATTGAAAGAGAATGAAAACGATTATTAATTCTGTGGAAAAAATAATATATAACTTACTTCGTGAGCGTTAAACTGTATCATCATTAAATTATGTAGAATTAAACCGCCTATATACAGTTCACCATCGGACAGTTTTGCTTCTACCGTATCTGGAGTTTTAACGTATTTCGGAAAGTATGGACCCTTTTTCAACAGTCTCAATAACCAACTAGCTATGTAAGTTCTGTGAAAGAGATCTTCTATAGTCCTTTTGTCCTCGTGAGTTACTATACGAAGAGAAGTATCAAGTATATGTATCGTATTTTTGACAATCTATTGATAAATATACGCATATATATATATATTCAATTTGTTAAAAAATTGAAGAAACGTTAAACATAGTTAAAACTTTAAACATAGTTATACATTTAATCCTACTTTTATACTGTAGACAAGTTCTCGAAAAATTTAATTACCTAACCTAAACATAATTTTAAAATCATCGAATCGATAAGGTTCACTTGCGGATACTTTAAATTTATCCTTCCCTTTCACATCTTTCAATTTGTACAATTTGTCGAATGATTGTTGAACGATTATCCTCAAAGCCAGAAAACAATTTATAGAAGTTTTCGACGCCCACAAAGTAGGCAATATCGGACACTCGTTTTCATGGATCTTGGCATCCTTGTCTCTACATGAAATACTACAATAAGCGACACAACTGCACGTTTGGCAAACAGCTGGTATCGGTACAAATATCTTTGTGAAACAACAGAAACAATTGATGAGTCTGAAACGTAATTACTTCGTATTATATAAATACGTATATATATACATATATTTTGATAAAAATTCGAGCGAACCTGTATTCCGCCAATAGGAATGCACTATACGGTTTCTCTATTGCCAATATCTCTCCAGGTTCGATATCTTTAGTAGCAATCGCGTGTCTGCCTATGCTACCACCTTCGTCTCTTATTTCAACCGCTTTGCTGCAAGAAGGGTACAAAGGATTGCAGTCCTCGATCTTTGGAGTCGGTTTCTCAGGCTCGCCAATATTTCTCTTTTCAGGAATTTTCGGCCCCTTACGTGCCAACTGATTACCCTTCTCTATCACGGCGAGCATGATTCTGATGTCCGCTTCGAGCTTTTGTTTCTTCTCCCCGGATAATTTTCCATCGTCCAAAGCTTTTAAAGCGCTTCTAAATGCCAAGACGGCCTCGTCGTGCCTTTTTAACGCGAGCAAACATCTGGCCCGTCTTTCTTCGATCTTGTAACGCAACTCTTGAGGATATCCCACGCGCAAAGCCTCTTCCGCGTCTGTGAGGGCGTAACTGTGCTTTTCCAGATGGTAAAGCGTTGCCGAACGATTTGCCAATAGGACGGCTACATCTGGTGGAGGGGATTAATTAACCGATTCGTATGATTTAATAAAATTTAAATAGGAAAATTATTTCGTACAATTCATGGAATGATAAATTAAAATAAAATAAAGAAGAATAAAATCTCGAAATGATGAAATTTTTAACAGTGGTGAAATAAACATGATGATAATATCAACAATCGTCAATTACCTTTTTGAGGTGCGAGCAGAACAGCGTTCGAATAAATTTCCAACGCCTTAACGAATTCTCCACGGCCGAAATACTTGTTACCAACATCCTTGAGTTTCAGAGCTTTCTCACCGTTCTTCAACATTTGATCCTTCGCTTCTCCGATTTTTATAGCCAAATCGTAAACTTGCGGATAGCGCAACATGAAATCGATCCTTTCCGAGTTGCTATTCAAAGATATGAACTTTTTCATGTCTTGCGGTGTAATTGCGTTTTGCAACCGGTGGAAATTTGATCGAAAGTAATCGCTAATTTCGTTGTCCTTCTCTTCCAGCATCCTTTAACCTTTAGATTTTTATTCTCGAAAGATTCTCTAATATTTTCTCGAGTTTTTTAAAATATGTATTTTATTATTTACTCGTTTCCAACGTTCACTGGGCACGGTGTGGAATGGGAAAACAACGTAAGAATTTTGATTTCTCCTCTCGAAGAAAGATTATTTTTCCAGTCGAGAATGTATACGCGTTGTCGACGGTCGACGACATTCGATGCTACTGGCAACTTGCTACACCCAAGCGTCCAAAAACTACGTTCATCTATTCCCGTGTGCGCTATTTCTGGTTGCATCGGGTAGTCGTAGATGCGTGCAATAGAACAAACGGCTTACAAACATAAGCACGTGTAATTGATTCAATCCTCCCAATTTGTTTTACAAGCCGAATCTTTTGTAGACACTCGTCGACTCGTAAGCGTATTTTGAGTGCGAGAGAGAAGGACAGAATGAAACTATCCGAGATATCGATTATCGATTTTTTGCGCGTACGTGAATTTTCGTATGATACGTCATTTTTTTTTTTCTTTTTTTTACGTACAAAAGCTTTTTCAGAAATTTTTTTGATGAAAAAGAAATGTCTCTATGTATTTGAATAAAGGTAAAATTTACAAGTTTAATTTATATTTCATAATTTGCATGGATATCGTCGTCGTTAAATTATTCGTTTAATTTTTTTTTTTCACGTATTCATGGGTTTATTGCGTTATGGAAAATAGTAGTAGGTCGTTAAATAATTTATTAACCAGAATCATTTTATATGTCGAGAAAAGAATAATTTATGTACATATATATATATATATATATAGCATGCAATATAAACACATATATTTATACGTGGAATCTTACAAGCTATATAATTTAAGTACAATATATATACAAAACTTAAACAAGGTACAAAATATCGATGTACGAAATGTATATAAGTACGATAATATTTTTCTTATGAGATTATTTCGATCGAATGAAATCGCAATTTAATAAGTTACGAGTTATCAATTGATATTACATCGAAATCTTACAAATTATATATAATAAATATATATTAATCTTCTAACAATTTAATATCATATTTACGTTATCAATTAATTTCTTATTTATCTAATAGAATATATGATATATTATATATATATATTAATATATTAAACAGATTCATCGTTAATTAATTATATTATTAACAATAACAAAATTCTACACTCAACAAGATTTACGTTTCTTCTATTTCCTTATAATATAGGAGAGAGAGAAAAAAAGTGAAAGAGCAAACGCGATCAGGTATAATGTTTCTTGAATTAATTAACTCACGTTTCCATAATTCAAATCGTCGTTAAATCTTAATTGACTTGTTTCCTCTTCTTATTTTTTCACGGACATATGCAAATAAGCGAAACGTATGTAAATATACCCTGTCTTGTCAGTTACGAGCACCGTGTATATATATATATATATAAATATAAAAGATACGAGAGTTTTTTTTAAACCAAACACTTAACATAACCTATTCAATTCAAAACAATTTCACTCGTATCTTACGAAAATATCTATTATCTCATTAATTTCGAGTGAAAAGAAAAAAAGAATAATAAACAATGCATATCGTTGCAAAAAACGATATTCGCATTAATTATTATTCATCAGAAAATTTAAAAATCGTAGGAAGCTTCGTCGTCCTCCTTTTTACGCCTGAACGCCATTTTGTACAGTCCACCGGCGGCGCAAGCGCCGATTATCGGTCCGATCCAATAGACCCAAAGATTCTTCCACTCGCCAAGTATGACAGCTGGGCCCAACGTTCTGGCGGGATTCATGCTGCTTCCCGTCACGGGTACAGCTGCCATGTGGGAAACGGTGATGGTCAAGCCGATGGCCAACGGTGCCCAACCCTTCGTGTCGGTCCTCTTCGGGTCCGTGACCGCGTGGACAACCAGAAGGAGGAGGAACGTGATTATCGCTTCCATGAAGATGCCTTGGCTCTCGCTCACTTTTTCGCCCAGCCCCGTGGCGCCTAAACCCTGACCGATCGTTTCTTTAGGGATCAATAACTGCAAATAATTGGAAAAATTTTTCTAAGAAGAAAAAAAAGAAACTTGTTATTCCGTAACACGGCGTTGAAATCGATTAAAGAGCGATTCCAAGAGTTTTTTTTTTTTTTCGTAATTACTCGTCAATTAGTAGTGTTGGCACGAAACATTATATCACGAAGAAAAAAAAAGAAAAGAAAAAGGGAGGGGGGAGAAAAAAATTAAATCAAACATGTTCTCTGTTCTTCGTCGTATCGTTTTTATTAGGTAATTATAGTGGCATTTCGTTCAATGGACCAGGTTTTGGTGGTCGATCGGGTGGCAATGGTGGGGTTAATGGACTAACACGTTGCATTATGTAATTCGATGCAACAGTGTTTCAGATGTAATCACGTTGCAACAATTATTACTTATTGCCGCCTTGCTTTAAAAAAAAAAAAGAGAAATTTATTCGTTATCCGAAATGATAGCCGAAATTTTTTTTTTTTTTTTAAATCAATCGAACCATATTTATTCCATTAAATCCGATCCGTTAATGGTCAATTTACCTTCCCGTCCTTTTTTTTTTTTTTCGTCACGTCACGTATTTATAAACGACGATCGATGCGCCGTTAGTATTATACACGGAACACCAAGAGCTCATCAATAAAAACTAATCGTAGAAATTAATGCGTGGCTGTGAATCGACTGTCTGGAACGAATCAGGCATAACGTATATCTGCAATTTGTTCGAGCCGTTGCCTTCTCACGTAACTAATCCCGGCATACTCGGGATAAGATAAGACCATGACCTTCCAAAACGTTTTAAGTAAACGATTAAGAAGCTTTTTTTTTTTCTTTTTACGATACTTATAATTGAATGAAAAAGATAAGAAGAATGGATAGAGGATATACATGTATACATATACATATACATATACACGTATGCGTTATGTAGATAAATTGCAAGTAGCGGCAATAAAAATCCAATTTAGCAGAGAGCGTAGTTAAAACGGTACGATTATTGGCCGATTAACACGCTCGAGCCGCGTCTCGTGCGAGAGATATTATGTCAATAATCTTACCTTCAAAACTCCCGAACCGGCGATTGCACCACAACACTGGCAAACAATGTAGCACACCGCCTTTAGAAAGCTGCAGTTTCCGCTCACCAAAAGGCCCACCGATACAGCTGGATTCACGTGACATCCCGAGACCGGACCCAACACCTTAAAATACGAAAATAATAATAATAACAACAACAACAATATATATCGTAAACCTTTTAACTTTTCTTAATCTCACGACAAAGATCTATTAAAATTCCACGTTTCACAAATATTTTCTCGCGAAATCTCGCAAATCTCTCAAATTTACCTCGATCGTGTTCTAGAAACACAGACAGCACGTACCAAAAAAAGATAATAACTGATACACTGGTGTCGTAAGACAAAGATCTATCAAAATTCCACGTTTCACAAATATTTTCTCGCAAATCTCTCAAATTTACCTCGTTCTAGAAACACAGGTAGCATACGCGTTACGTATCAAAAAACAGATAATAACTAGTACACTGGTGTCACAAGATACTTTGTTTATCGTCCGTGTTTGTAACCGGCGAGAAACTTTTGCGAGAAACTTCTCTAATCCTAATTTCGAATTTCGCAATTTGCGGAGCATGACCGGTCAGAATACGATAAAAAAAAAAAGAAAAAGAATCTCAAAAATTTATCTCGCCTCACGGAACGATTTCCTAACGATTGTAACGTGTATGTGCAATAATGGTGAAATCCGAGAAGTCTTATCGTTAGATCCACGGCTACGAAATTGTTTGGACGGGCAAAATTCGAAGCCCGTCTCGAAGTGTCGTCTCTCCTCCGTGTTCCGTTTCTTACAGAAAGCGAACAACGGCCCATTTCGCTTCGAGCCCTTGAAACGCGCGCAACGTTGCGACTCTTGGATATCTTGCATGGCAACAGTCGCCCTTAATTCGCGTTGCGATACTTGGCCGGGCAATAAATGCGCGCGCGTGCGTGTGCTCTTTTGTAGGTAAGTATAAACGACGAACGAGTTTTGAGAAATATTGACGCAACGCGATTGATTTGTATTTGTCTTTTTTTTTCCAGAGCAAAACGTGCATACATCATTTCCTCTCCTCTTTCGCGCGTGAATTTTTTTTTATCATAAACTCAACCGGTACAAATTATTATTACTTTCGTAAATATGGGAAAAAAAAATTCTTAGACGCGTATTTGCGTATCAAATAAATATTTGGATCGAATGAGTGGGTAAATATGTGTGTTACGAGTAAATATTAAAATATGCGTGTTACGAGGATTAATAATGGGAGAGTAAATACATCGCAGACTCTTCGGCGTCGCTCGACCCGTCGGAAATGTTTGTAATAATATCGTGGCAGAAACCAGTTGGAAGAAATTGGGATTCCAAACAAAGAAATCGTAGAAAAAAAAAAAACAGTCGTTGAAGATTAAGAAAGAAAAGAAACGATTTCATCGCCCGATATTAAAATCGAAAATTTTCTGAATACATTTATCAATTTTTTAATATAAACACACGATACACTTACACACACATATATATATATATATATAAACTTCTATAAAGAGTTCAACGATCTCGAACTTGCAAATCTGTGAACGAAATTTTCATATCGGTTCAAAGTAAAAGCGGACGTGTTAAGAAAAATCCACGAGTGCGATTGAATGCAAATCGTAGGAAAGGAAAAAGGACGCTATCCGAATCGGGAGGAATGAATGATGAAAATTTAGAGGAAAGAGAGGGAAGTGTAAATGGTAAAGTCTAGATGGCGAGTCGGTTTGTGGCCAGGTTGCGGCCCAGTTCTCATGCACGTTGGCAAGGTCTCGGTTGGCCCCAGGCGATCGAGATACACATGCGCCGACCAGTTGCCGCGAGATTACGCAACTCATCTTTCCCCCCTCCCTCCTCTTTCTCCTCTTCTTCTTCTTCCTTCGTGTCTTCTTCTCGATCATTCTCGTTTCTCGAGAGTGTCGCAGCCACGTTTGCCAGGATAAATTTTGACCACGGAGCACGGAGCGAAGATCAAACGGCGCGATATCGACTATATATAATTGATTTTATTAATTACAAGATGGAGCACAGGTGACTCTCTCGAAACACTGGAGAGGCAATTATCGGTTTACGAGGAAGGGTTTCTCGCTTTAAAAGGTTTTGCGTTCCGACGCGCGCTTTTGCGAAAATTAATTCTCGAATTTATCTCTTTCTTTCTTTCTTCCTTTTTTTTTCTTCTCCCGGGGGAAAAAAAGAGAAGGCCTTGTGCCGAATGAAGAAAATCCTATCTCTTCCCTTCTCTCTCATTTTAATTAATACCACCGTTATTCGGCGAACGCAACCGATATTACACGCACGCGTGAACCCACAAAGGGGAAAGTCAAGTTGCTTCAACTTTTCATCCAAAGTACCGTCCGGCTCCTCGTCCTTCGTCCGCGCAACACTTCTTCCAAGAACGAGCGATAAACGAGCGATTCGTCGTGCACTTTTATTCGGCAGCCTCGATCAAATTTTTCGTATTTCCCCTCCCTCCTTTACTGTATTTGCTTACGCTCACCGCGTAATCTTGAATTATTAATCAAGAGCGTGTCTAGATATCTGGTGGGACAACTGTGATGGTGGAGGATTTGCGAGACGGTGGCGAAACGAACGGCTGTGGGCACACGAGACTAAAAATTGTAAACTTTGAGGATTCGTGGAACGAGGTCGACGAGCTCTTTCTTCCATCCGTGAATCATGTTTTTTCTTTCCTTCTCTCTCTCTCTCTCTCTTTCCTTTTTTCTTTTTCACAGCGAACAACGCGTAATGTAATTCATTCAAGGATTCAAGACGAGATTTAAAATGTTTCTCTCGGATTAGAATCTCTAGGATCAGAGCTGGGGCTCCCTCGGGGGCTCCCCGTGACCCACAGCCCCGGGATACTCTCGCTATGTGGTTCTATTCACATCCGCTCTCGTTCTCTCGAACGAATCACGTTACGATCGCGTAAAGATCCATCGTGCCGGGTCAACCAAAAACTCGATCAATCGATCAATTTCTACGTGTCTCTGTAACGAAATGATATTAATTCGAGAAACTGATTTCTTTCCACAGATATATTTTCCAATAATTTGTTCTCTCATCTTTTACAATTAAATACATCGATATATTAATATAACAATCAATGACAATTAAATCGAGTCTTGGATTATATTTGCGAACAATTAATTCGAATTTCAGTAAAATAGAAACAGAATATAATCTTGCATAAATAATTTAAATAATTATTTATTGAAAACGGTCGAATAACATTTATAATTATTATAGTTGATCCGATTTTCGTATAGTCTCGTTTGACGATGCAGTTATTATGTTCTCGGACGATAAATTATCGAAATAACTTTACTCGTAACTTCAACTATTGAATTTTGCCCATCACTGGTTGTAAGGGACAATGATCCTTCGTTGCATAACGCAGCCGACAAAGAGGGAGTCTCTCTCTCTCTCTCTCTCTCTCTCTCTCTCTCTCTCTCTCTCTCTCTCNCTCTCTCTCTCTCTCTCTCTCTCTCTCTCTCTCTCTCTCTCTCTCTCTCATAAAGGCTTTAGAAAAGAGGTCCACATGACTCTAATATTTGCCAAGGGAATCTTTTCGAACGAGAATCGCTTTCATGTTACCTTAACCGTTGCAAGCACTCTGTACTACTTTCGAAATCTAGTCTAGCAATCTATCAATCGAAGGAGGGCAGAGGAAATTGCAAAAATCTGGAAGATGTAACGATTGTTAAAATTATCCTCCTCGGGCGGAGATCGTTCATTAAGTTTCTATTATATGTAATAGTAAGTTTCACTGATGGGATGAAAATTATTCGAATCGAACTTTTAGCCAACTTTCTCGTCTTTCTCTCGTCTCGTATTACGAACAAAAGGACGGTTATTAATTTTACCTGTATAGAATTAACTTGTCCGCTTCGTTAAGAAATGATCTTGAAAGGATTTATCTCAGTTACAATAGAGAACAATAGGCGTCTAAAATATAAATACGAATACGATAATACTTGACCGGCTCGTTGCACGATTGCGCAAGTCAAGAAGTAGTACCTCTTGTAGTCGTTGTGCGTCGTCCAACGCGCGATCACGTTCACTGGGCTATCCTTTTTGTTTCGTTTCCTCTCCGCGTGACACCGTGTAAACATTCGCGCTTTGCTTTACTTTGCGACGAATAAACGCTTTTCATTTTTTTTTTTTTATGTATTTAAAACGAAAGAAAAAGTGGAAATGCAATCGATTTGTAGAATAAATTTCATATTGGTTTAATAAAAATGTCTCAAAGCATGGTGAAGAGAATCCATTTTATGATTCTGATGGAAACGACAGGTTAGGTTATAAAGATGAGTGTTCTTCTCGTACGAGTATTGTTATGGAAAATTAATTAATAAATCGAAAGGTTGATCATTTCATCTTAATACTTTATATACTTTTAACATAGATCGAATTGAAAATGTTAAATTTTTGTAAAACTTGACGTATGCAAATTCTGATGAAAACAAGCGAATAAAATATTCTCTCGCATGCATATTCTTATGAAAAATAATAAATAAATAAATAATAAATCGAGAGATTGATCTTTTCTTCATCTTGCGATATATCTTGATACTTCACGTACTTTTATCGTAGATCGAATTAAAAATATTAAGCTTTTGTGACTAATTACGTGACTCATAAGAAAAAAAAACTTGATGTTATTTGTTTCTTTTTTTACTCGCGATTATGCAATGTTACGTCTCCTTCCACGAGACGATTCGTCTCGTTCGTGACAAATGACACGTAACGTGGGGTGGCACAAACGTATGATTTGCATTCAAATTATCAACTTTGACTTTTGCGGCCCCTTCCCCCTCCTCTTCCTTTCTTTCCGCGTCTTTCTTTATTGCAGTGAACGCGTTATGTACGCCTCGAGTATAAAACAAAAGGAAGGAAACGACGGACGACATCGTCGAATCGCATACGTTTAAGATTATTTATTCAAATTTATACGATCTCGATTCGTAATATACGCGCGATTGAGTAACAATTTTCCTCTCTTCTACTTTCATCTCTTTCTTCTCACTCGTGACTCACCAACGTAACAATTTCACCATTTTCTCCCATCCTAACGTGTGAGAATTGCAATAATTACGAGCATTCCGTTTTTCCTGGTTCTCATCACCAAAGGCCAATTGTCGAAGAGCAAACAAAAGAGGAGAAACATTTGGACGAAAAAAAGGATGAGGGAAACTTAACGAATAAAATAAATAATTAAATAGATTTTATTTCGCGAATTCATTTGCCAAGAAAGATATACGTAACAATGTATCCTTTTTGGTAAATATATATATACGGATATAATAAATATATAAAATAATATATAAAATAAAAAAAATAAAAAAATAAAAAAATAATATATAAAATAAAATATATAAAATAATATAAAATAAATAAATATATATATATCAAATTTTAAATTATCATAATCGAACGAAGCATAGGATTAACAAATATCTATATCTCATATATCGAAAAAGAGAAATAAAAGAGAAGACATATTTGATCGAAAAAGAATAGATACATGTAATTAATTATCATAATCGAATTTAATTTGAAAGAAGAAACGAGAAGAGCAAAAAATTAATAAATATCTATATCTCGTATTTGCAACGAGAGGCAGCCTATCGGATAATAAAATATCGAATATAGATATAGAGACAAGACAGAGATAGAGAAACAAAGGAGGGGAAACATTTGGTCGAAAAAAAGAAAAAAAAATAGAGCAAATTTAATAAATAAAATAAATAATTAAATACGTAGAAGCTTATTTCGCGAATTCATTTGCCAAGATCAACAATCTATGTATATGTATATCTTTCTTGGCAAATATATACATATACAATTAAATTATAAATTATCATAATCGAATTTAATTTGAAGGAAGAAACGAGAGGAGCGAAGCATAATAAATGCCTGTATCTCGTATGTGCAACGAGGGGCAGGCTGTAGGAGAGTAAAGTATCGAAAGAGAAACAAGAGTCACATTAGTCGATCGGAGGTTGGAGGCGAGTCTCTCGAGTAGGTTGTCGGAGCCTTCGGGGCAGAATTGCACCATCCGGTGAGTTAGACCCCCTTGGGCGAATCACCGGCCTTATTTACCCTTCTACCAGCTCGTGTTGCCGCCGGCTCTCTCGGATCGAGCAACGCGTGTGTCACGTGTTGAAACGGAATACACGCGTATGCATATAACGTAACGAATGCGCGTAAAAGGCGCTGCACGCGCGCGATATTAATTAATCCTCGCGCAAGATATATTATATATCCTTCGAATGCGAGAAAAACATTTTTTTTCCTTCCAAAAGAAAGCCCGATTATTAGAGAACTCGAATTTTTAATATACTTCGCTTTTTCTTTACCTGAAATTTTGCCCGAACCAAAGCGGGGTTCGGCTGATTTGATCGATGCTTGGATCAAGATGATTAATGAACAGTGTAAAAACATTGTATAAATTATATAATTATTGTGATAATCGCAGAAATCGAGTTGCACGGGTTGATTCATAACAAAATTTAACTTTCGTCCATTTTTAAGAGTTTAAGCCATTTTTCTTTTATATACGAAAAATATACGAAAAATATACGATACGAGAGAGTTATTTTTCATCGAACGAGAGCGGGAACCCTTAAAGCGTTCGATTAATTACCGCATCTTCTATTTGTTACCGGCTGCCCGTTTACTTCACTATTTACTCGCTAACGTCGCAAAAGTAAACGCAGCGCAGACAGAGCAAATACCAATCACCGACTGGCGGCCAACGCCTGAACTAAAGATGGACCGAGCCGCGGAACGCGTCCAAGTATCCGTTAGGTCGATCGTTGTTCCGACGTTACACGTCGTGAAAGGCGAAAGATAAAGAAGAGAGCGAATTAGTAATTGATTCGCCAAGACTCGTTAGCTTCTGCCCCAGTTACAAAAGTGGAAAGAAACTCCTTAAAAATGGGAAAGATTCCTTTTACCTATCGTGTATATATATATGCATCTTTCTTGGCAAATGATTTCGCGAAATAAACTCGTTACGTATTTAATATTTATTTTACTTGTCATCCGAATTTATTCCCGTTATCGTAAGTAGTAAAAAAAAAAAAAATATTTAAAATTAAGACAAAATCTTTTCCAATTATATTTAACTTCATATCAAAGTGAATTTGTTCGAGTCGAATTTATCGTTAAGAAGCGAAAGAAATATTTAGAACCATATACGTGTATTTCTTTCGGCAAACGAATTGGCAGAATAAACTTGTGTATTCGTTCGGTCGACAGATACCTAAATTTATCATTCTCTTCGAAACATTCGATCGTTATAGTCTCGATTATTATGCAACATTATGGACTCACGGTTAACCGTTCTATTTTAAATTTCTCGTACAACATCGATTTGTAGCTGGATGTCAGTCATTGAGACTCGATCCTCGTTGAATGATTTTTTTTCTCCAAATGTCAATGAATGCGGAGTAAATGTACGACCTCCGTGTCGTTGGACGCTCGTTTGTAATTCCTCGTGCCTTCCGGCATAAGATAGAAAAAAGAGAGAGAGGGAAAGAGAGAGACACAGTCTACGTGAAACGTTTGAGAAAGGAAGATAACAGATTTCGCGGGTCCATCACGCTTCCCACATGTTCGATCCAAGCCTACGCCTAGTCGACCGATCGTGTTAACATTCGATTTCGATTTTTTCTCGTTTTACTTTCAATATTGGCCGAACATTGAACAACTGGACAAGCGGATGGACTCAGGTTTTTCGATCCCTCCTCCTCCTTTCGTATAATTAACGAAAGGATAATAGATGCGTGAAATTTGAATCGTGGAATTGTTGATGGTTGTCGGTGAGGCGGGATATTGAAACGAATGTTGCGAAACTTTGGCATTGAGCGGTGAGGAGGAAAATAATGTTCCAAAAGAGAAAATAGGTCGCGTTCAGAAAAGATTTACTTCGTTTAATGGCATACGTTGCGATAAAATGTTGCGCGCTCGCTTCATCGGTACTTCACACTTTAATATCTCTACTGTGCTCTGCTGCAACTGTTGCGCGTTTCTCCCTCCGCCCTCCCCAACTGGAGATAATGTATGGTCAATTAATGTAATTGTGTAGAGGTTTTTGCGGAGGGCATTGTCACACGTGCGGTATTTAATCGGACGATAAATAAAAAAGCCTAGTTTTTGAATCCAATCAAAGATCATGTTCTCATGTTAATTTCCTTTGTAACGAATCGAAATCAAATTTTTCGCTTTCGATTTAATCATATTTAATTTCAAAAATCTTTAAATATTATATTATTTCATAGATCGTTCCTAAAAGATTTAAAAATATATAAGTGATTTTGGAACACGAAATTGATCGTAAAATTTAAATAAAATCTCGTTTGATCGAGTTGAAATCAAATTTTTCGATTTAATTTTAATACTATTCGATATATCATTCCTAAAAGATCAATTAAAAAAAAAAATATATATATATAAGAGATTTTGATATAAAACGAAAAACGAAATCATAAAATTTGAATAAAATTTCGTTTGATCAAATTGAAATTAAATTTTTCAATTTAATTTTATTTCGTTTGATTTCGAAAAATTTTTAAACAATATATTATTCGATAGATCCTAAAAGATCGGTTAAAAATATAGAAACTGTTTTAAGGCAAAACGAAAAACGAAATCGATCGTAAAACTCGAATAAAAAAAAATCTATGATCTGATCGCTTTCGATTTCAACGATGAATAATTTGCGCGTGCGGGCTTATAGGATCCAATGAATTAATTCTCAATTTGCTAATCGAAAAAAAAAAAGGAAAAAGAAAGAAGTCGAAGTTCGAGTGACGAATGCACGAATTGGATGGAAACGATCCGAACTTCGTGAAACGCATCGTGACCGATAGCTTTGGATGAGGTGAATGGAGTCTCCTCCTCCCTTCCTTTCCTTTTATATTCGTGATACACGATTCTTATGGGACGAGTCGAGAACACGATTACTTTTGTCCATTCAATGAAATCAGATAAATGCGAGGTGGCGAACCATTTATCACGCGTGTAACACTCTCGCGGGAAGGAAAACTCGAGAGAGAGAGAGAGAGAGAGAGAGAGAGAGAGAGAGAGAGAGAGAGAGAGCGAGCGCGTAGGCCGGCGAAATTTCGGCAAATTCATTATTCATCCTATGCCTTCGATCGATTCGAATCAACACGATATTAAGATATTTTTTAGAAAATTGTTTTTAAAAATTTTGGAAAATTTTTCTCTCTTTTTTTCTTTTTGGACAAGTGGGATATTAATTAGATGATTAAATTACGAGAAATTATATGATTATAAGATGTTTCGAATTATTTTCGTTTATATCTTCATCTTTTACTTATCTTACTTTTAATTGATATTTTTCTTATTTCTTTTCTTAAAAATCCAAATTTTTTTTTTTTCATACATCCGCTTAAACTATCGATATCTTCAAGATTAATTCAAAGATTAATTCATTTTGGATAAAATTATCCAATCGCAAAATTCGAAAGAAGAAACATTGTTACGCTTCGAAGCGTGATTAATTTGTTTAGGACGTGATCCTTGCAAGCAAAAGCGTGAATGTGATTATACGAAACACGTGACTTACGTGAGCCAGGCTGGCGACCGCGAGGCCAAATGTGAACGCTATGTGAACCACCGTTGGAGGATTGTTGGCCGTCCACGTGATGCAGGATGCACAACCGATCAGCACGAGAAGAAAGGTTCCCAGGGTTTCGGCCAACAGCATCACCAAAAACTCGACCTTCGTCACCTCTTCGAGGCCGACGAAATCTTTCGCGCCTGGACAGAACGAAGAAGAATAAGAAGAAAAAGAAGAGAGAGAGAGAAAAAAGGAAAATAACACGTATTATGTTGTCGAGCGTCTCTCAATTGCAACATTTTGTTGGTAATTAAACGATACACGCGAAAAGGAGACGCGTTTCACTCCCATCCATCCATTATTGAAACGTCAAAATTCGTGTGTATTCGACGAACGTATATGAATATATAAATATTCGTCATTGTCGGTGCCGACGACTGTTGTTGTTTTTTTTCTTTCTTTTTTTCTCTCGCGAAGAAACGTCCCGTATATATGTACTTGTTTGTCGGTGCATCGATCATCGAAATACGGGGTATGAATTTTTAATACATTGTACCAATGATGTTTGCCTTTCGTCTCTCTCTCTCTCTCTCTCTCTCTCTCTCTCTCTCTCTCTCTCTCTTTCTCTTCGTTTCCTTTCTCCTTTGCTTTTTTTTTTGGAAAAAAGAGGGAAGAGAAATTACGTAATCCACGAGGATGGACGACGTGGGTGACGCGAATTTGCAGTGTTCTATAAAAGTAAAAGAGAAAAAAAGGAGGAGGAGAAGAGTTTCTTCTTGATACGAATGTCGAAATTCTATTTCTGTGGTTATATTATATCGAGATACCGCGTTATGTAACGTATAGAAATAATATACAAAAATCTTATATATTTAATAAGTTGTGATTAAATTGTTTGCGATATCGTTCGAAATTTATGCGAAAGACGAAAAGCAACGAAAAAAAATAAATATGACGATTGGCGTACGATTATGGCACGATAAGATGAATAATGACAAACCTTTAAGGTTTTTTTTTTATTTCGATCGAGAATTATCATCAAAATTATATAACCTCAAAAATCATATTGCAATAACATTATTAAAATTATATATAAATAAAAAAGAAAAATTTGCATCGAGTCAAGAAAATTGAAAGAACCGATATAATAATACAATGTTTTTAGTCTCGTTCTCTCGACGAACATTTACAAGAAATGGAAAGTGAAGTAGCTTGGGAACCACGTACCTTTCCAACCCTTGCCCATCCTCCTCTCGATACAATCTCACACGTTTGCCGTGCAACGCACACCACAACACCTTCTCCCTCGTTCCTACCACCCTCTCTTCTCCCCAACAAGGACGAGCTCGACAATCTTCGGATCGGTCACTCTCATCGGTACTCGGCCACCATCTCGCCCAATGGTGTATCGATCGCGGGGAGAAACAATCCTTCCCCCCTCCCTCTCCCACTTTGTCCAAAGACAAAGGATCTTTCGCCTTTCGAAACGAGAAGACAATGGTGGACGACTTATCACCCCGCTTATATCTCCGACTATCGCGACGGTTTTATCGGACGTAAAACTGGGAAACTGGGATCGAGCAGCTGGGTTTCGAAAAGGAAAACGCGTTTGAAAATCGTTCGAAGTAACTTCTCGTGTAACGGTCAAGAGGAAGAGGAAGAAGGAAGAAGGAAGAAGAAAGAAGAAAGAAGAAAGAAGAAGAGGAGAATGTGTTGTTCCGTGGTGTACACGAACTCGCGATACTTCCACGATACACCACGTGGAGTCTCTGTGGGCTATTGAGTCTGTGGAGCGCGAGTTTCGCCTTCATATATCGCTGTTCTCCATCCTTCTGTCCTCCTCCCTCCCCTCCCCCTTTCCCAATCGACACGCGGATCCCCCCTTCCCCTTCCATCTCCTCCTCCTCCAGCCTCTTCATCATCGTGCAGCCCCACCAAAAACTCATTGAAAACTGATTGGTGTGTTTCGATGTGTGTTTCTGCACGTTCTGAATCCCGAGGATCCACGAATCCTTTCTTTTTTTCTTTGATCCAAATTTTTTCCAAATTGAATTAGATTACAATTCGAAATTGAAAAATAGATTGGGATGTATAATCGAGTAGTGGATATATAACTTTTTGAGTTTTTTTCGAAGAATTTATTTTATTCTTCGAAGCATCGATAAATTGAATTTCGAGTCGAATTTTTTTTTTTTTTTGGTACAAAGAAATGGAGATTAATAACGATTACAGCAATGGTGGTAAGTAAAAAGAATCTACGATCTTGATAACGTGCGCGGTGATAGGTTGAAAATATTAAATAATGAGATTATCGATAGGGAATTGAGCGTTTAATAATAATTATTCGGTGTTATCAAGCACGGGATTATAAGGCAGGTATTTATGCACGGTTGGCGTGTTACGTGATACGATCCAGTACTTATTTTCTATGATTTATATCGAAATTCTTTTCGTTGATTGAAAATTATTATTAATCGATCTCTCCTTTAATAATCTAATCTTTTTTATCTCGAAGAAAGAAATTTCCATTGATCCGCTCGCCGTTACTTATTTAATTGTGTTTAATCTCATTTTACTTATTCGAATTTTAATTTAAACGTAATTGAAACAAATCGAGAGGATACGTTTTTTAAAGAAGAAGAAGAAGAAAATGGGATTAAAAATACGTACGTAAAATTTAAAATTTAATGTATAAAAATTATTTGAACACAATTAAGCACGTAAAAATGAAATATCATTTCCTGAAATCTTGAAATCTCGAAAGATACGATCTCGAGGAGAAATTTTTTTTCGTCTTGAAATATGACGAATAACCACTTTAACATCATTTAAGTCACATTAGACCTAACTCTGTATGATTAAATTCGTAATTTTTTCTTTCTTTTTTTTTTTTTTTTTTTTGCGTACTTAATTTTTCACCGCGAAGAGTATTAATTTTCAACATTCAACAATTTGTCATAAACTGGCAACTCTAATTGCTTAAGTGTGCTCAACAAGTGTGCGTTATAAAACAGTTTGTCTCCTATAATATCCTTTTTAATTCATTTGCAATCGCGAAAAACCGGGAAAAACACTTCTCACGTTAAAAACATTGACGGGAAGTTAATGTCGAACAACCGCGTGCCGCATTACATATGCAAATCAGGCATCCTCGACATGACGTTGCAATTGTTCCATAAGAACGTTCCATAGGAAATTCATACGAGATTCATGGAAAAACACGATTTTCTCATCGACCGTGAAAATATAAATTAGCAAGTACATTTGTTTTCTTTCTTTTCTTTTTTTTTTTTTGTTCTTACATAAAACATCAATGCCAATGATGATCTATCATTTTTAATTGAAAAAAAAGATAGATTTTTCATTTTGAAAGATTTAATCTCGATGAGTTTTGATCTTTTTTGAAATTGCGATCGAATCGTGTCTTACAAATTTTTACTTCCACTTTTTCTCTCTCTCTCTCTCTCATCCGTTTCTTACATAATCCAGTTTTAAACTAGACGAAAGAAAAGGAGATCGAGCACGTTCGTAGCAAGTGTTATCAGAATTATTATAATATTCGTCATTGACTTTCAATTATATCTTATCGAAATTTTCAATTTCGTTAAAATACGAAAAAAATGCAAAAAAATTTCTTAGATCTTTATCTTTCTACGCGATGCGATAATATTACATCGTAGCATTAATTTTCCTTTAATCTTTATTAACCCAAAATTCTATCCTCTACATCCTGCGTAGTGCACGAAAGATTACGATTAAAGATATTCGCTAAATTGTTGCCAATAATACGAGATCCCATCACGTGTGTTTGTTCCGCTGACATCATCGGGTGGAAAACAAGGTGATATCAAGATAATTACGACATCACGGGTCAACAAGTGTGTATGTAAATACGTATCTAACGAAACGGTATACATTTTCGTTTCCCACTTTTATCAATGGTTATCTACAATCGAGCGTTGTTCTACACGGGATAGATAATTATGTTGATCGAATTCTTTCGGATTGCAAAAGTGTATCGCATCGCATCGTTACACGTCCCTCTATAGTAATTAAACGGTATTAATTGGGCCACTTGCGCAGTAGTCTCCTGTAAATAGATCCTTCGCGCACCTGCTGCTTTATTTACGTTATGCTACCAACTTATTCGATGCTACCAACTTTTTCCACGCTAATTCTTTTTTATTGATTCGCCTCGCAAGATTTATCTCGTTGCTGTTCGAATGGTGTATCAATGTAATAATTCGTTAAACAAAAAAGGAATTTTCTTTTATAGTCATTTGGAAAATGCAAATTTTCCGAGTCGATCTAATTAGAAAATAGCGTGTATGAAAGCGCACGGTTGAAAAATATTTAGGTTTTTCGGGCGGTTATTTTAATTAAGTACCTTTAATTGGACTCGTGCACCGTCAAGAAACAGCGTCTGTTAACTATCAGCAGCTAGAACACCTGTGTCCACTTGGATCGTTCGTAGGTAAGTGAACATGAATGGGCAAGAAAAAGATCTCTCGATAACTTTACAGAGTGATCCAAAAGTGTAATAAAATATATATATATATATATATATATACGATTCGAGAATACGCGAGCAAGAAAACTGTGCTGCAAAGCACAACTTTATATAATAATTGAAATTATTATTAATCTTTTTAACGTCGCAAGATAAGTTCGCTATTTAATTGTACGAAATGTCATATATTTAATATATTACACTTTCATTCCTGAACCGCGCCTACATCATTATTAATTCGTGGCAACGAAGCATAAGCATAAAATGTCAAAACGTGTACGAGAGATACGGAGACGATTCTCGTTCGTCAGATGTTATCACGCGGTAAGAGAAGAAAGAGCATCGAGCGAGTTACAGCTCGAGCAAAATAACGAATCATGCAAATTAATCATCGAGAATTTGGCCGAGAACAAATGAGTAAATTATTTCAAAAGTGAGGAGATCCTCGTAAAATAGACCGGATCTATTCTCGGAGGAAGTTAAATGTCAAATTTCACGACCCTTGAGCGAACAATGAGCAAACGTGACCCGCGGCGTATTTCGCAAACTCGATGCCCCAGAAAGCAAGAAGGGCCTCGGGGCTGTACTTGTAAGTTCGAAGAGCTCGTAGGATACAAACAAAAACTCATAAAACGGATTGTTTATTATTTGCATTATTGAATCGATATAAAATCCGCGAGAGAAAGGGACAATATGAAGTAAATTTATTATTTGAATAATAATTGAATTTATTCGGATTGTTCGAAGTATGCATGCTCTTATATCCAATTTATAAATAAAGGAATTTACTATTGAAATTGTTGAACAGGAGAGAATATTACTGGTGTAATTTGAAATGTAATGTACATTACGCAAAATGTGTAATTTATACATTAAGTAATTGCCACATCAATCGATACCGCTGCACCGATGGTGAATAAATAAGATTTGGATAATTGATACTGTATTTTCTACAATTTTCTGAACCTTTTATGGTTAGATTTCATTGCATGCAAGGTGAACGATCCCTATGAACGAAATATCATTAGAGCGTCTACTAGGGAAATGTAAATATGCTAGTGATTTTACTCGTGAGAATTGGAAAACAAATTTTCTTTATTATATTTCACTTAGCTTCACGTATAGGAGAGTATTGATCTTTGATGTAATAATTGCTCAAATTTATTCGCACTGTTCTACTTATTGATTCTTTTTCACATTAATACACTTATTAATAAACTTATTGTTATGATTAACAATTAATATAATCTGATATATGTTTTTAATACGTTCGAATAATTCTTTCTGTTCATCCTAACCTAAAAATTTCTGCACAAAAACTTGATATGCTTTTAACTAATGTTTGCATTTTTCCAGCAATTAACATAATCTGATATATATTTTAATAAATCCTTTCTATTCATCACATATTTAAACTTAACCTAAATCTAAAAGTTTCTGTACAAAAACATACCATTAATAGATTTTCCTTTTCACATCGAATAGAAAAATTTCAAGATCACCATCACCTTTTTATTATTCGGAAACAAATTACACATATAAAATAAAGTTAGTACACTTATATCGTAAAAACAATGGGTACAAATATTCGTAGACACAACAGTCACACGCAAATGTGTTTCATCATTCTATCATCTCCGACTTTCCCTCTTTTTTGTACAAAGTGCAACGATTACGCGAGCATTCGATAACAGGTCGGGAAGAAATTAGTTTCGTTGAACTTTGAATGCAATGACAAAAGCAAGCTCGTAAGCACTATTTTACAGCCATCCAGCCTTCCTTTATGAACAATATCTCGCACGGTAATATCCGATAGTTTCTATTTTACCAGCGAGGTGAACGTGAGCCCACGAAATTACCACAATTATATCGCGATCATTCTTTTGCTCGCTGCTTGTAAAAAGCACGTTCCCGCGAAAACTTTCCTTTTTAAACAACTCGTGGCTGGAAACTGGCTACTGGAAAATTAAATGCGCCGGTTCTCAAACATTAAGATCCTCCTCGAGATTTTATTAATTATTTGTATGGTAAAAGTTTTCGGCGTTAAGAACAGACAGTGAAAGTTCTTCTTTTTGTTCTTAAACTTATTTTATTCGCATTGTTCCCACATGTGCTGATTAATAGGATACGCGGAGCAAAGAGGAGTGTTTAGAAAAGTGATCGTGAGAGCGTTATATTAATGTACAGTGTATATTAATGTATCTTATTCTCTTATCCATGCAATAATTGAACCGTTTTTTTTTTTTTTTTTTTTTGAAA